CAAAATCACATACATTGATATGAATATACATGTCTTTGCGGTATAAACAATTATGTCGCACTAGTATGAATAAAAAATAAAAACACTGTATTTGACTAGCAGTTGCGACTTTTCTACTGTGATTGGTGCGATTTTATTACACTACAATGTGCGAATTCAATTTGGAGGCATGTGCGACTTTTTGAATGACACAAGTGCAATATTCATCCTGAAAATACTGTATCACTATTCACATCTACACTACTTAATGAGCACCAGAAATGAAGAACCATTTATCAATTGATTTATCAATTGGAGCGGCTTTAGCTGGAGCAGCAGCTGGAATTTCAACATTTGGTTCATAAGTTGGTGTTTTTGACAAAGTGGTGTTGACCAATTCAATACCCTTTGAGTCAGCACTTTGTCCAGCAATCAATTTCTCCCAAGCTTCATGAGTTTCGTTGATAACTTCTTCAGCATACTTCTTGTTTTTACATTCACCACTGAATGCAAATTGGTTTTCTGGTTTTCCATCTGGAATTTTGTAAATTCTGAACCATTCATTGGTGGCTCTTAATAAACCTGGCAAATGAGTTTCAACATCTTCAATGTCGTTCAATTTAGGGGCCAATGGATCGTTGACATCAATAACAATGATCTTCCAATCAGTTTCACCTTCGTCCAAAAGAGCCATGACACCCAAGACTTTAACCTGTTTAACTTCGCCAACAGTGGCAACCTTTTCACCAATTTCACAAACATCTAATGGATCGTTGTCTCCCTTGGCTTTGGTTTCTGGGTGAGTGACATTTGGATCTTCCCAAGTTTGTGGGAAAGCACCATAATTGTGAATGTATCCATGGTGAGGGAAACAGTTACGAACAAATCTCAATTTGCCCTTTTTAGTATCTTGGATAATTGGGTTCAATGGGATGTCTTTGGAGATTTCCAATTTGGCATTGGTCCATCTTGGGACCTCAACAACCATGTTGAGAATAGTTTTCTCTTCATTGGCATACAAAGGAATATCATGGAATGGTGAAACTGGTTTACCATTTTCTTCAAAGTAAACTTTGTACTCTAATGTGTTTGCAGCACCAACTTGACGTGTTTGGAAAGACATTGTGTGTTTGTGTGTGGTGAATCAATTGATAGTTGTAGAAAAAGAAAAGCAACTTGTCGAATCGTAATTGAAAAATTCGTTGGGTGGATTGAGAATTTTCTTTTTTTTTTTCTTGATTTTTCTTAAACTTTTCGCTATGTACGAGGCTTTTAAGCCTCGCCCGTTGTCACGTGTGCACTAACAACCTTACAAACCTTGTCAAGTATATAACTGTTGTATTCCTCAGCAGAGACAACATTCATTTCCGCCTTTTTATTCAAAAATAGGCCGCGTGTTAGTTCCCTGTGAACTTTTTGTCCCAAGCTTACCGTTGCGGTAGCGGCTAGGTTCGTCATGATCGATATATCGCGAGTGGTGATTGTTAGCTGGGAATTGCAATGTGATTCAAGCAAATACATTCCCGTGTAGTCTATGTAAGGGATTGCACATTTATACTGCTTATATATGAGTATTCCATGTGCATCAGAATCAAAAAAACCCAACACAGTAGTATGGTAAGTTTGAGTCAACCAAGTGGCAAATTGTTGCGTCAAGTTATCCGAAAACCCCTTACCAGTAATAACTAAGAAATTGCAGTTCAACATGTCCGACCTGGTTTCGATGAATTTACTAAATGAGTGTAAAATAGCATCCTTTTCAAGCACAATTACCACCAATTTACTTCGTGGGGGTACAGTTGCAGTTTGTTTAAAGTAGCTACAAAAGCTAATGGGGATCAAAGTTGGTTCTGCCAACTGCTTGAAAATGTTGCCATACATCAAACCCTTTTGTGTTGGGTGGGTATTGAAATCTTGTGCCAATGACCACCCTAAACCTTTCTCAACCAAATCAATGAGCAATGTCTTGCATTCTTGCAGGTTCTTGTTGAATATTTCCACATCTTGATAGAATATATCTCTAATCGTTGTTGTCTTGTTGAGAAGCAAGTTTGTCTTCAATATTTTGATTATTTTGATAATGGCCGCCAATTTGGTGCAATCTGAAGCAAAAACGGAGGGAATGTTAAACAGTGTCACTTTTCTATAATCTTGTGAATCATCCGAGCTTCGACTAATAATTATAGATATGCATTGGTTGTTTTCAAAGGCTGAAACTAACTGCTGCCAAATGTGACTAAGTATATCAAGCTTGGATCTGGTGCACTGTTAGTGGCTAAGCTAACCACATTTGATAATAAGAACACAGCCAACATACTTTGATGGGTCATTCCTCACATGAATAATTGCCAAGTTTGTGCTCATTGTATTAATGCCGAATCTGAAGAAGTCAACTGGCTACTTGCAAATTTTGGTTGCAAAGGTGTGACTCCAAAGTTTACGAAGAGTTTTGAAGACACAAAATCAGTAATCATTGCAGTTTCGGATTTAAGAAACCTAGATTCGGAAATAAACGACGTACACACTAACTGACAAGCACGCTCCACCCGGCCCATCCAATCTGCAAGTAGAGTACCATATAGATGTCAAGCTTAGGTCCTGTTACCACTTTACACGATCTACCTTAGTCAAGATGTGGGGTGGATAATATGTCCTCTTGGTAAGTCCGTTTTGATGGCGCCAAGAAGACGTCATATCGAAAGTGCTGATAAATTTCAGTTTACCCTCACATCACTTGGCTAATACGCTCATATAGACACACAGAAATCATACTTTATACATTGAAAGTGGAATTACTATTACTATTACCATTGTTGGTTGGGTTTTTTCTTGGTCAATGTAAAGAAGAAGTGAAGAAGACTGTTGTTGTTTGTGTAAACAAAATGTAATGTCACAACCAAATCGAAATTGAATCAATCCTGCTTTAAGATCTAAGCCTCCCCACCAAATAAAAATGAACCTTTCAAAATGGTACAGATAGTTCTCCAAGGTTAAACTACTAACAAGTCAAATGCAGGCACGCTTTAATTGGCATATGTATATCAACTATTCAAGAATGGAAAGATCTTTACTGTAAAGTAAATGCAATTCGCTTTCTATCACCAAATAAGATCTAATCGCCTCTTCACTGGTTAATTTTTTTCTTTTTTAATTCTATTAATAGCGTTTGTGCCAAGTTGTCTTTACAAAGCCATTTTTTATTTTTTTTTATAATCCCCTGTGTTATGAGGTTGTAGAGGGTGGCAAGGATACTAATTACATACAAACCACAGCCGCTTGTGGTTTACCACATGCTTTGCTTGCGCTTTATAACATCTCAAGCCAAGCAAAACATTATATTTTGTTTGTGTTTCTCTTGTGTATCTTCTCTTTTGTAATTTCCGACCTGATCAAAAATCCGAAATCGAAAACCAACAAAGAGAGACAAAAAAAACCTTTGAGACCTCAAAAATATTTTAGTAAGCGAGAGAACACATTCTCTCCATTATTCAGCGGAAGGCTAGAGAAATAGACATCTAGTATCAGATTTGATAATAAGTACCATCACATCAACCAATATCCCATTAACAGTCGCAGTTCCTATACACTTTATACTAGAACGAAAGCCACTGTACCCACTCTTCCACAACTTACTCCACCTGAATAAACAGAAAACAAAATAGAATGCCGTACATCGACAACGGCAACTTTGTATCAAAAAGCGTTAAATCCCTTTACAAGCGAGATTGGGATGATGGTTACTGGAGCAATTCCGGCGGAGCAAGATGGGCATTCTTTGCTATATTCATCGTATTGATAATCATAGTTGTGCTAGGTACGATAAGGGTCAACAAGAAAAGAGCTCAACACGGTGAGCAGCCAATCTATGGAACCAGATGGCTTACTCCACCATCATACATACAGTCACAAAATCAGTATGACCAACCGGATCATACCAGAGACCCAGATTTACCCAGTGCTTATGTCCCCACGTATACAGCTACCGCAAATGAGTTTGACATGGGCTATTATGATTCAAGTGGAACTTTCCATCCAAACCCCAATGCCAAACAGGCTTTGCAACATCCTCCACAAACTCACCAAAGAACAGGAAGTGCAATTAGTTCGCATACAAATTCTGGCGCAACTCCTTTATCACCAACTTTAGATCATGTTAATGAAGCTGATGGACACGCTCATAATGATCATGATGATGACATTGCAGATATAAGTAGACCTGCTGGTCCACCTCCTTCGAGACCAACAGATGTCAGCTTATCAAATGTAAGTAGACCCGAGGGTCCACCACCTACGAGGAATGCAAAGAACACTTCGCCCACAGCACATAGTGCAGTGAATAATGAACGTACAACCACTACTACAGGAACAGCAATTGATAATTTTTCTGATGAACCACTGCCATCATCATCGTCTAATAAGGGAACAGAAGTTATTGAAACTACCATCGAGAAGAAGGGATAGAGTCTTGATCCATTGTATATTAATATGTAGTAAACCATTTGTTAATTTAATGCTTTTTCAATTCGCTCGTTAGACATTAAGTTCACTGTTTTAGACCAGCTTGTATATAGAAGCATAATGTCAACTTCCCCACTTAGGTCCTTGCGTGATGTGGCTCTAAACTCCTGCCTACCTCATATGTTACATATTGCAAACAAATATGACTAAGATAAATATTATTAAACATACATAACTAACTCATGAAATCGAAAATTGATCCCATATTCACATACCTACGTCCACATTCCTCAAGATATTTCAGAACAACCTCTTGACAGTTTGCAAACAACTCCTTATTCTGTTCTGCCAAGGCATCGACTTGTCCCTGAGCCAATTTCTGCTGATCTTCACCCGAAGAAGAAGATGTCTCAAGCGCGTCAACAATTGGCCTTAGTTTTCCTGCTTTTGTCTTTTCCACATCAAAGATGGAATTAAAGTACAACAATTGATTGTACAATGCCTTGTCGGTATACCTGTACCTCATGACGCCTCTGCAGTCTAAACCTTTGCCAGAAGCTCCGATGCACCTCTTTCCATAAACAGAGATCTGCCTTGTTTCAATTCCACATGATGTATCATCACAGACTAACCAGCCACAGTAGTATAACGCAATGTGCTTTCTTATTGTTGCCTCAAGTTGAGCTGTGAGTTTTACTGTGGGGAAACTAAAGTCACATTTCTTGCACGTTACTCCATTAAATGTAACCTTATAGTCGCTTGATGGTTGAATACCACCATACCTGAATGCATGGCCACAATTGCACTTCAATACAAGATAACTTGATTGTCTAAATCTCTCGTCATCGGAAATATTTGACTCAATTGATGTTATTTCATTCAATCCTTCATTCTTGACTTTAAGAATGTATCGTTTGGTGTCGATGCCTAAGCTTGTGGCCACTCGCATCATATCAACCAACTCAATCTTGTCCAATAACCTCTCAACAGGAGCAAAGATTTGTTTCTCAAGATAATACATTGGATCTGGCTTTAAATCCAGCTTCTTGGATAACAAGTCTTGAATTGCTCGTGCTCTTTCTGCAACTGTCGACTTGTCCTTATCATCGGTAGGGGCAGTGATGACATAAGTTATGACACTACCTGCCTTGATCACTTTTCCTTCAGCTTTCAAACGAAGCGCAACCTGTACTTGGGGCATCGATTTCCCATTAGGGTAGTTGTTAGGATCCTTTGAAAGTTTTGTGTTGATCTTGAACCTGTCCACTGGTATCCCATTTCCAAGGATCTTGTCTCGCATCTCTTCCAAATACGTGTAAACATCTTGCAAGGCCTCTTCTGGATCTGAGTCGGACAAGATTTTCATCAAAACAAACGTAGAAATGTCTTTTGAAAGCTGGCAATACTCACGTCTCCTCATATCCAATCCCTTAACCTCCAATGCAGTTATCTCTTCACCAGTAGCTTTACTCAACGACACATTCATGGCTGCATACTTCTTCTTAGCATGTAACAACAATCGTTTGAATACATTGTCAATATCAATTTCCAACATCTTATAGCGCTCATTAACTTGAATTTTAAACTCTTCACCAATTTTGATAGCATCTTTCAAACTTTGAGCACCTGTGTCAATCATGACAGAATCAGTGTCTCCGTACACAACTCTTAGACTCGATGATTCAGCAAGCTGTCTCGTATCCATCAAAATTTCACGACCTTTGTTTGTCACCAACATCGCCAATGGTTTGGCATAGAATCTAGAGTTTACATAACCCAAACAACCATACATGGAATTGGCTGTCAATTTTAAAGCTTGTTGTTTGATATCATATTGGGCCTTTTGAAAGGGGGTATTTTTGGGGTCCTTCAACAACTTCTTCACTTCTCTACGACGGGTAACCAAGGAATTCAATAATCTTGGCAATACTCCTCTTTCTGAATCATTGTCTGGTATCAAGGGCATATCCTTATCCTCATTATGTGTAACATTGAATTTGTCTCTGTTAACAGTTGTAAAACAAATGTTGTATTCTTGAATAATACTAGGATACAATGAGTTGAAGTCCATAACCAAAACGTAATTCTTGTGCAACCCCTTTTCCGGTTCAAAGACCAATCCACCTTGGTACTTTGGCTTCTTATTCGATGTCGTTGTTTGTACATCGTCGTCAATGTTTTCCAATTGAGCCTCTTGCTGAAACGTTGTATTTTTGTGAGTCGAATCCTCTTTGTCTGGAACAATATAGTTGTTTCTTCTAAACTCGTGCAATAAGATGTACTCATTTCTACCAGCTCTGGTACCACTCAAAGTGTGGCTCCAAGCATTACCAGCAATATTCGTCAACTGTTTCGATAACGAAAGTATTTGGGTGGCAAAGGCTACTTCACTTGCAATCTTTACATTGACCTCATTCTCTTTCAATGCGAGCATAAATAATGTAGCATCCTCGGAGAATTTAGAGTTTTGATAATTGATATCCAACGCATTGTGTTTCTTGTGACAAACAACGTCATACATCTCAACCAAGTCCCAAGACTGACATTTCATTGTTAACGATTGTCCCATTTCGTTTGCAATATCACACAACAACCTTCCTTGGAAAACCTCACGAATAAGCAAATTGTTGTTGAACCCTGAACCATGCCTATTGATTGCATGTGGCCATTGCTTTCTGTTTCTGCGTCCTAACGCGGACCATATAGTGACTTGTTCATCATGCATTCGATGTACTAATACATCCAAAGAAATATTTTCCAACCTATGACCAATAAATACATCTGGATCAACGCTCTTGACTTTGGCCGCCACTGCGTTTAATAAAACCTTCTCGTTGGGGCAAATACGTAGTTCAAACTGATCCTTTTCTGCCAATTGTTTCATTCCTGGAGGGAATGAAACTGTGCCCACTGGTCTCGCGAACGTAATAACATCATCTGGTTTCAAGTCTTCTGGAATTGGAGCATCCTGGGGTAAATTGTAGTACGTGGCCAAAGATACGGAAACAATCTCTTGCCTGTTTCGTTTTGGATTCATCACTGTCTGTACCGATACAGAGGAGCATGTCAAGTTAGGAGCTGATGGTGGAGCCTTGTCCACAACACTCACCTTCCCCGGCAGACTAATTGCAACTTCAATTTGACAATGAGACGAGTTTCGAATAGCGTCAAAGTCACCACCTTGAATTTCAAGCCAGCATGGACCCATGATCCCCCTCTGGGTGACAAAAGATTCAAACATGTTTGCGTTGGTTCCAAATATATGGTTGAACGTTTCTCCTTCGGTGTCAGCAGGAAGGACCTTTCTGTTTGTAGCAGTATTATATGGTAACAATACTTTTAAATACTCGGCTTCTTTAGGTATATTAGCCAATTCGAAAGCGTACTTTTTTACTTCTGGCTTAGCCCTGAGCGTTTCCAACTTGTAATTTTCCATGAAAATAGGAGTAATTTCTTCTAGGACATCATCTGTAGTGTATCTTTGGTTTTCAGCATCAGTTTTATTCTCCTTAGGTAAGATGTACAATTCGCGACAAAGCCCATTAACCTGAACAACCCCAGAAGCCAATTTACCATCCTTGGTTTGTATTTTTCCAAAAAGCAATAATGAGTTTTCAACTTCAGCATAGTCTAACCAAAACATTTTGAAGCTTCCAGTCTCACCGCTCACATTCAGTTCATCTATTTTATCCGTATGATTTGCAAACATCGTGCTCGGTTGTCTTGGCGGTGACGATGAGATTGAACTAGCTTTGACTGAAGAGATCGTAGTAGCGTTATTTTCTCTCTTAACACCGGATGTTCTGGGTCTCTTTGCAAATATCACATCGTCGTCGGAATCGCTATCATCTGGCTTTGGTTCTGGACCACTTTTATCGCTCTTTAACTCCTTCCGAGGCGATGAAGCGGGGTTAATATTCTCCTTCTCCTGAACGGCATCACTAGCAAAGATGGTTCCAGGGGATGAAGGCTGTTCAATTTCATCGAAATCCATAGTATAGTCCGAAGATGCATTGAAAGTCTCAACTGAAGGTGATTTTCTTTCTCTGGTGACAGTGGAAAATGTAAACGACGTGTTTGGTTTCTTTGTTTTGTTGGTATTTGTCTTTTTAAAGTTTGCAAACGATTTTGCCATGTTGGCTTTCTTCTGTGGCACCACTTCTTGAAACCCTTCAAGAATATCGTCGATATTCATGTCTACTTTCTTGACTTCGTTGTTACGGGTAGTAGATTTGAAAAAGTTGTTTATTGGTGCAGTCTTGGCAACTTTGGCGGGCCTTTGTCCCACTTTGTTCTTGCGTCTCTTTTTGTTCGATTCCACAACCTCTTCATCTGAGTAATAGTTAGGCCTCAAAGAGTCGTCCCATTCATCAGCACCATTATCAACATACCCTTCGCCATTATCATCAACAATAAAGTCATCATTCATTAATTGATGTCTTTTATGTTCTCTAAACGTTTCTTCGTCTACTTCATCATAGATTTCATTCAAATTGGTGTCGTCATCAGAATCTAGTGTAACTCTAGCTCCCGTCTTTCTAGCTTCTTTTAACAAGCGTAATTTCTCCCTCTTTTCAGCCTTGGTCAGCATGGTGGAAACTGTTTGGGAAGTAGTTCAATTACTAGAGGAGAGAAGAGTCTATCAAACGAAGGTTTATAGAGTAACGCGAGAGAGGGAGAGAAATAAATAAATAAAAATCAAAAAAAAAAAGTTAGAAAAAGTAATAATTTTAGTTTAGACGTGTTTTTGTGTCTTTAACACGTAAAGAGAAAGATACACCAACACCAACACTAACACACTAAACACTTTGCGCAAAAGAAAAAGCATTGTGGGCATATATTACTAAACACCGACCAATATACATACTACCCCTCCTCATGTATCTGGGATCAAGCTCTTTGGAATTATACCCTGGGCAACCCTTTGAACAATTATACCTCCAAAATCAATAATAATCAGCGGATCTCCCAACAACTGCCTAATGAGATCCCATATCAAGTTGGACTCCTTCAAAGCTGTAAGCAACTCGCCCAAACTAAGCGCATGTGATTGCAAAATCAGCACAAGAAAGTGGGCATTCGGTGCTGCCAATTCAGGTGTTGTCAATAAATGCTTAACCACTGATGCCGCCAAGCCAGACTCTCTTAACGAAATAAACAATTGATCCAACAATGCATTTTCTCTTTTGCTGATTTGACTACTTCTCACACCTTCAAAAGCATCATCTTCCAACCGCTTACTCAATAAACCTAGGTCCAGCCCACTTTGTTTTAAAAGCTCAACTGTTATGTTTATTAATCCTGGCAAGATTTCGGCATCCTCCAAACCCAACGTCAAAACCTCCAATATCAAATTTGACCTTTGTAGTACAATGAGTAGATCGGTTAAGTTTATCAATCTCAATCTTATTACCCAGATTGTAGTTTGGATTACAATATCCAATAGCTCTGGGCGCAATAATACAAAGTCAATCACAGACAAAGCAACACCAGTGTTGTTGAGAGTCAGTAAAATTGTGTCCAACAATGGAAAATCTGATCTCTTTTCCAAAAGGTCAAAATGACTGGAGCGTGATCTTGCACCCATGGCAAAGTTTGGTCCAAGATTGTGAGCATTAAAGTCTTGTAATGAAAATAGCAACGTTTCGAGCTCGGTAGTATTAACAGCAGCCTGCTGGACATTGGTGATTGTGGTGGAGTTCCATGATCTTGTGATTGCCGAGCCAGCAGCAGAATGAATCACAGCAAAAGTGATTATAGTAAGAATCTGTAAACTTTTCATGCCTTAAAGATGTGTAACTCTACACACCTGTTAACAAAGTGGGTGATTCTTCATCTGTATTTATATTGGAAATTCTGCTTTATCATCAAAGCTATGTTTAATAGAACAGGCAAGTATAAAGCAGCAGCTCGCATTTGGCAAAGATTTGCGACTAACACCATCTGATCTGTTATGTAGATCGGGACCTTACGATCAAACGAGATTGTTCCTGGTATCTCTCTTTCCTAAAACCAGATTGTGTGATTATTTTTGTGCTTCAACCTTCTGTAAACGAAATAAAAAGGAAACTTTCAATTCTCAGTTTTACGAAAGTCTGCAATTTCCACAAAACAACCAGACCCCTCACCCTTCACATCAAAAGTTGGTTCTTTCCCTAAAATAATGTCTTTTGCCAATATCGACCTCGAAGCTCAAAAGAAGCCTTTGCTACAGAAGGGTACAGCTGAGAGCTATACTGAGACTAGCGATTTGGATAGGATTATCGATAAGACATCGAAGCAACTACAAACATTTAATCAACAAATTTCACAATTTGACCAACAGAGGAGACAGTTAGGCTCAAGACGAGATTGCTTACAACTTCGTTCCAATATAGATGCTTCGATCGAGCATATAAATGAGTTGTACAATGCAATACAACATTTAATATCAAACTTGTCTCAATTGATTAATGTATCAGCAGGGGACAAATCTGATAGCAGCGACAAGGTCAAGGTCAGTAGCCGCCATATTGTAATCAAAGAAAGACTAGTAAGTGAATTCAATGAGTTGGACAAAAAGTTCAAACGCTTAGTAAAGGTGTATCAGGAAAAGAAAAGAGTCACGCCAATTGTGAGTTCACAAGGGGACCATAAAGAGACTAAAAATGATGAACCGCGTCAAGTACAACAACAAATACAATTGGAATCTGAGTTGGATCAGAATTTGGTTGAACAAACCGAGCTACAATACCATTTGCAATTGACCGAGGAGCGGAATCGAGAAATTGAACAAGTAACTGAGGGAATAATGGAGGTAAATTCGATATTTAAAGACTTGGATCAGCTTATTCATCAACAAGGAGAGCAGCTCAATACAGTAGAGGACAATATTTTACAATTACATGGCAATACACAACAAGCAGACAGAGAGTTAACCAAAGCAAATAATTATCAAAAGCTGAAAGGAAAGTGGTCCTGCATTTTGCTTACGGCATTGACCATTATAGTATTGATTATAGTTCTTGCCGTGGTCAGTTAACGGTGTATCAAATTATAACGAATCGAAAGTAGTAAGATTAGATACTTTTTTAGAAACAAACATGTAAGCTCCTTCTGTTCGTACGTTCTTTGTTAGAGATTTGGACTAAGTTAATGTGCAAACTGATATTTCTTAGAATGATCTCGATTCTACCAAGAGCTTTATCTAGATAAGTGATTTGTTAAAAATTTGAAACATGAAATAAAAATTATACCAGAAATGTGTAAACCAATATGCTCCATTCAATCGAGTTCCAATTCTTCATCATCAGCAGGTTCTATATCCGTATCTATCTCCAGGAAATCGGTTGTGTATGGAGTGCTGAGTTCGGTAAAACTTTCATAACCAGTGGATCTTCCTTCCTCTCTATCTTCTGCAAGTGCACCGTCTTCATAATTATCTGCATAAACACCATCGTTTCTTATTTTATGCCCCTCAAGTTTCTGATGGCAATATTCGGCACCTCGATTGAAAAGGTTCTCAGCAGCTTGCAAGATAATTGTCCTATTATTGGCTATTGCCAAACCTGCACCAGCTACTCCTCCGACAGCAAGAGCAACTTTGACCGAAAATGGTACCGCTAGACGAGGTTAGTAAATTGTCTAATAAAAGTCAACCTTTTATCCTCTCACGTTAATAACGCTTCAGTTTGAGATTTATACTAAATATCTGAATACATTGTCATCCCTTCTTTTCCTCCATTGGGACAGAAACAAAATTGAAGAGACAAGCTTGTAGGGATTCCAGTGCCTGCTAGGGAAGTTTCTAATGTTTTCCTTGCTTCTAAACTAACGCCATCTTGTTACTTCCCATGCATGTTGAATGTTGCCATTTGCGCTGCGCTAATACATTGCTATAGCTCCACACTTCATCTCAACTCCGAATTCAGTTTGATTGCAAAGTAATGGTTGAGTTCAGATACATACCGAATAAAGGCATTTTGAGCGGGATGGGAATTATTGTTGATCAGTTTTTATTCCTAGCACAGTGAACTCTTCCTTAACAAAGTGACTCAAAAATAGTATGCTTAATCTAAGACCCCGAAAAAGCTATTTGATTTGCTCTACCTTGCAGTATACTAGTTTCCTAATATTTGATGATACAAGTGGTTTCATAATAACAGAACATTATTCTCCATGAAATCAAGGAGGCGAGAATAGTGACAGCAATTGCTTCGATTTTGTGTTTAGTAGGAGGTCCAGATAAGATAAATGAAATGAGCACAAAAATTTGGCCCAAAATTGAGAAAGATGACGTCGGTATTTCGCTCGGCTGAATAACTTTAGAGCTTGCTGAGTAATGTTTGATGATTGTCATTTTTTTCAAATGTGCTTGCTCCAGTATTATTATCTTATCTTTATATTCCCTTATCCACTCGTTTTTCACTCAGCTACGCTACCAATTACAGTTTACTTTATGCCGACGTTATTATGACTCAAAGAAATTTTGTTTTGTTATATTATGCAGCAAAACATTCCTTTCCCAAACAACCTTATTAAAGAATAGATGAATGACTCAGAGTAGCTCACAGAATATATCATTATCACGACCGTTGAGTGTTTCGGAGAATTTTTTTAGGTCAAGAACTGCTAGTGGTAACTATCGTAACTTTCAAGTTACTGCAACTTACCGGCCGGGCTTGAAAAACAACCTCAAGCTTGTGTATTATGCATTGAGGAAAACGGTGCTTGACTACCACATATTGATAACAAATGTACAATTCAGCACTTCAATTGATAGCTACGTTTACCAGCCGTTAAGCAAAGTTGATTTTTCAAGCGTCTTTGAATTGGTAAAAAACAAGGAGTATATCACCGACAATGAAAAGTTTATGAAGTTTGTGAATCAAATAACCTTCAAGTTGTATTGTGAGAGCCCGTTGTTTAAGTTGATTTTGGTGGGAGATGACCAACTTTGTGCTGTTCTAGAACATACCATCGCAGACGGATTAGTCGCCAGATATATACACGAAATTCTACTTGAGAACCTTGCATATTGCGATAATGCCTCCAATTGGGACACTTTACAGCGCGAGTACGGTTTCGAAATTGTGGGAAGCCCTTTGGACTCTGAGCTTTTCAATTTCGAACGTGACCAAAAATACATCAAGAACCCCTTGCCGCCGCCAATTGACCTTTTCCTCTCTATGGACAAAGATTACACAGGAGGAGATCCAGGGTTTTCAGAAAGAGTCATACCTCCAGACACAGAGGGAAAGTGGCTAGGTCGATTTCCCGCAACTGATACTCACGAAATTGCTTTCAAGCTAATCAACTTCACAGCAAATGAGACCAAGAAAATACTCGGAAAATGCAAAGTAGAAAAAGTTTCGGTCACATCCTACATTGAGGTCATTATGGCACTTACCCTACAGCCTGTCATTAAGGACAAGTATGCTTCATATAAATGTGCTATGGCTTTGAGAAGACACATGGATGCAAAAAATGCACCCAAAGAATATGTCTCAATGTTAAGCCGTTCTGGATATAAAATCTTGGGAACTCTGGCCCATATGGGATTTGGAATGAACCTTCCCCCTATCAAGGGGTTCTCGTGGGATCTTGTTCGTCACATCAATAATCATATTGTTGAAGGGTGCAAGAATAAGAGGGCTTTAAATCAGTTAAAGGGGTTCAAGCAAGTTGCCGATTTGAATGACGAAACCAATGAGGTTTTTTTCAAGAAGCAGTTGAACAAGCCCAAAGCCGACGCAGTGAAGATTTCTAATCTAGGATTTGTGCATCCGACCGAGTACCACGCTAAACTGGGCCAGATTTGGCTGATAACCAACATGGTATTCGCACAAGATATGGCCCCATATGCATCAGAATTCATGTTGAATGTAATCTCGACGGCCGAGGGGGGCTTGAACTTGACATTAAGTTACTACGACTATTCGTTTGAAGACTGCGAGTGGGAAAATTTCGATCACTTGATAGAAAACCTTCGAAGTAATATGATCGAGTACTCCTTATAGATTTTTTGTATAATATAATAAGTTCTGTTTATCTCAGTTTCCTGCAGATATACGCATCGAGTGCTTTTCTTTTGTAGTTGTAGCTTGTCACTATATAGCTTTCACTGTCTGAATCCGCTGTTGCCTGCTAAATGTCGCGCTGACAAAAATATTTGACACTCGCTTTATGCAAAAGTTGAAAACCAACAGGAATAAAAGATATGAAAAACTATCAAACGACATGCCGTCCACTTCAGAATTTGATACGTCCATAGATGACACCCTCGTGCCGTCGACAGTGAGAAGCACTAAGACAGGATTGTGGATAAACCAAGATGGAATACGAGAAGTGCAACGATACAATGATTTCAGATCAATAGATTGGGTAGAGGATGAACTAGACGAACAAAAGCAGCGTCTCTTGAAGTTGAAACACATAACCAACAAAGGCAACAACTTTAAGGACAAGCTTCTATCCCAAATTTCTAATTGGCTTGTTCTAGCATGTATGGGAGTCGTAATTGGCTTGATCGCAGGGTCATTGAACATCATCACCTCGTTCCTTTCCAGTGCTCGCGTTGGCTACTGCAAACGTGGTTTCTACTTGAGCGAGTCATTCTGTTGCTGGGGTGAGAATGGTGAGCATTGCGAAAATTGGACAAAGTGGACTTCACTAAGTGGATTTAATTACATTATATATATACTCATTTCCCTCCTCATGTCATACACAGCAGCCAAAATCGTAAAGTCTTATGCACCATTTGCTGCTGGTTCGGGGATTTCAGAGATTAAATGTGTTGTTTCAGGATTTGTTATGGATGGTTTTTTGGGCTGGTGGACCTTGGCCATAAAAAGTTTGGGCTTGCCGTTGGCAATTGGATCGGGTTTGAGTGTGGGAAAGGAAGGGCCTAGCGTGCATTATGCGGTTTGCGTGGGGAACTCAATTGGGCGCCTAGTACCAAAGTACAAGAAATCAGCTTCAAAAGGAAGAGAGTTCTTAACAGCAACTGCTGCCGCGGGGGTAGCAGTTGCATTTGGATCACCTATGGGAGGTGTGCTATTTTCAATAGAAGAGATATCTTCAGTGTTTCAATTGCCAACCTTGTGGAAATCGTACTTTTGCTCTCTTATTGCAGTGACCACCTTGGCCGCAATGAATCCATTCCGTACCGGCCAGTTGGTATTGTTTGAAGTCAGTTATGACACAAACTGGCATTACTTTGAAATACCCATTTACATAATTTTAGGAGTTTTTGGTGGTGTCTATGGGATTGTTGTGTCAAAGCTAAATACAAAAGTTGTGTCGTTTCGCAAGAGGTTTTTGGGTCCGTGGGCAGTTCGCGAGGTTTGTATTTTGACTTTGTTGACAGCAAGCTTCTCATACTTCAATGATTTCCTACGTTCGGACATGACTGAGTCAATGCAAATTTTGTTTCACGAATGTGATGCCAATTTCCAAAACCCAATTTGCCACCCAGAAAATGGGAAAACGAAGCTATTGTTCTCTTTGTTGTTTGCAACCATTGCAAGAATGGGACTTACGATTATTACATACGGTTGCAAAGTGCCTGCCGGGATTTTTGTTCCCTCAATGGCAGCTGGAGCCACATTTGGTCGAGCGCTTGGAATCGTAGTGGACCACATTTTCAAAAAGAACCCTAACCTTTTCATCTTTTCTGCATGTGAGTCTGACGACAAGTGTATTATACCAGGCACATATGCATTTTTGGGTGCAGCTGCAGGTTTGTGTGGCATCACCGATTTGACGGTAACAGTAGTAATTATCATGTTTGAATTGACAGGTGCAATCCGTTACATTCTACCTACGATGATTGTTGTCGCGATAACAAAAGGCATCAATGACAAGTGGGGAAAGGGAGGAGGAATTGCCGATCAGATGATCAAGTTTAACGGATTGCCTTTGATAGACTCAAAGGAGGAATTCCATTTCCACACACCTGTAACATCTGCAATGTCCAGTGTCGTGGTTGCATTTTCAGCCGATGCAAATGATGCTTTGACTTTGGGACAGTTGAAACACACACTACAAAGAACAACACATAGAGGCTTCCCGGTGATACGCTCCGGTAACAATCCCAAGATTGACGGCTACATTTCTCGATACGAGTTAGAGTATGTGCTAGGCAAAAATGAAAATGTCAATCCGGAAACCCTATGCAACTTCAGTTCGAAGGAGAGAGGGTCTACGGAAAAGATTGATTTTAGTCTGATGATAAACCTATCACCATTGAGCGTTGATGGAGCGACATCTTTAAAGTACGTTTCTGACATATTCGTCAAACTCGGGCCGCGTTACTTGTTAGTTGAGCAACTGGGGACATTGATTGGAATCATAACAAGAAAAGACATATTACGTTACGAGCACTCCATTCATCAAAGAGAAGTAAATTCTGGCCCACAGGATAGACAAGAAGAACTCGAGGAAAAAGTATGGAACACCATGAAGTCAATATCTGGAATTGCTCATCAATTTGTTGGACGAATCCTACGTAGGGACTCATAAAGGAATACATACATACATTTTCTATTGATCTTTCCATTTCCAATACTCTTGGTAATCGCGATACAAACTTTTGTACAACGCTTTCCCAGCGTAATCCAAAGCAGAATTGACGATTTGCAATTCCTTCTGGGATAATGTGTCAAAAATGGTGTAAATTCCACCAACAAGAATGTCATTCACTTGTTTGTCAAAAGTAAACCTCAAATTTAAGTAGATGTAATTGATGATCAAGTACGGCAAGTGAGTACGGAGCTGTTTTTTATAAAGGCTGGCCTGCGTGGTTAGCCTGCTTTTTTGTTGAACTGTACGGGTAGAAACGTCTCTGACATGTTCTTGTGGCTCGCACAAAGTGCTCAACATTCTTGTAAATGCATCAGCAGCAGCTGTGCTGCGTCTCAAATGGCCCGATTCAGCCAATTGATCCAAGAAAATAGACGTCAAGTTGATTACCAAATGGTGCCGGGTCGACAATTTATACCGGTGATGTAACAACATCTGTGACAAAGCTTGCAATGATTGCACATACACAGCTTCTAGCTCGTCTTTTTTTGCGTTATCAGTATTTAGTGGCACAACTTCAATCACAACAAGCATCATTTCGATAACATATTGATTAAACATCCATGGCTTCTGCATTAGTAACCATTTTACGTTGATTATTATGCTCTGAATAACTTTTAACAGAAGTTTATGCAGTGGAGCTTCTAGATACGTAGCAAACAACGCAGTCAGCACAGTTTGGTCACATTCCTTTGATATTGTAGTCAACATTGCGCAAACGATCATGTAAGTGGAATCTGCAAAATGATCCTCGGTATCAGTAGCCGAGGTTATCACATACCGGCAAAGCGCATTATAAGTATCCACATGTTCATCTGCAAGCACTTGCAAATATTGAACTAGGTCTCCATAAAGCGGTTCCGTAGAGAGGTCTGCATTTAGTACCAAAAATAAACTTAGAACATACTTGGAAAAGCGTAAATTTAACTTTCCTGTCTTGCAAACCAATTTAAATATGGCTTGTCTGGTGGAGCTGTCGTTAAATTGTGCCTCATGTAATAGTTGTGTAATGAGCGATACATCATCAAAGTTCAACATCGACTTAGGGATATTTGCAAGTCCATGTAGAAGCCAATTTAAATTCGAACTGTCCATGCTGCTACGATTGCCTTGCAATTGTTTTATGCATCGAATTTTGAATGCACGCACCAATTCTTCATACTTCTGGATGGCATCATTTGAAAGAACACTCGAATGCAATACAATAGCTAATGTCATTTCCATTTCCGGTGAAGTCTCAGTATCCCCATCTTTAACCAAGTGCTTTAAAAGTATGTCTAAAGCGTGTTCCACATAAACACGATTGGCCTCTGATTTTATCATAGCGATATTGCTGCTCCACACTTTATTGGTAATGCTGGCCGCGTGCCTCTTAGCCTCCTCAGAGGTTGCATGTTTCAAAACTTGAATGAGTATAGAAAAGTCACGCTCTATGCTTGATTGGTATGAAGCCGATTCGAGCAAGTAATTAATGCACTTTAAAGCGCCCGTCTCTTTTGATTCCAAGTAAACCTTGGTCAAAATGTTTAGCAAGTCTCTTTTAGGTCCACGCGAATAGCACGCCAAAGGAATAGTAGTTATATGATGGAAATGGGATAGTGGATCTGCAATAAATATTCTTATGATGGAGGTTATTAAATTCCTCTGTTCGTAAAATTCATCATCAATCTCACAAAGAAAGTTTGTACCAAGGGCAATCTTTAGCAACTCAGTCTTATTTGTGACGGAGAAATAGTCATTGATGATAACAAACCACCGATAAAGTATCAGCAGTATAATGCCCATGTTATCTCGTGAAAATAGGATGAATTGGTGTTGCTGTTTTTCAGGATAATCTTTAATCACATTCAATTCCAACATCCTAAACACAGTGTAGTGATAGTAAAGGTCGTAATCTATTTTCAACAAACTTTCAGGAACGTCAAAAGTTGTACCATATAAGTTTAGAAGATTGTATCGAACTTGCCAAAAGTTGCCCTGTGTATTAATAAGGCTCTGAATCTTGACAAAAGCTGACTGTAAAGAGTTTACCAACTTGGGTGTGGCCATCATTAAACCCTTTGTTATTGACGTTAAAATTGTAGAAGAAGCCTCCAACAGTAAATTAAGTGAAGCTTCAATGACCTCAACTACTTGCTTTTCAGACAAGGAAGTGATGCAGTAAGATACATGTGCAACAAATTCTGCGGAATCCCATAATTCATCCTTTTCAATAGCTTTGGGCCAAACTTTTAAGAGGAATTCGACCAAGTCTCTATTTTTTGAGTAGGCAGAAACAACAACTTTTCCCACAGACAACACCTTTTCATTTATATTGAACGCAGAGTTGTACTTTTCAAAAATAAATTTTGATTTCATCGCTGCCAATTCGCTGTCCAACTCAAAAACATACTTTACCATGTCCCAATTCAACTCAATGAACTTTTTGCTTGCAACTTCTTTCGTGTAAACCGACGAGATGAACTCTTGTGGCATATTATGTTGAGAATTGACCAAAAGTGCTAAAAACACCTCGCTTAATTCGGGCGATTTATTAACGATGACAGTAAATAGCTGAGCACAAACACCCATATTCTTTGAGGCAAGCTTCTCGACAGCCTCTTGAAAAAAGTACTTTAAAGAGCCAGCATCGATGTTCTCTCTTTTGAGGAGCTTCTCAAGGTTATGAACCAAGTAAGGCAAGTTATCAGCATTGAATACATTCTTTCTGAAAACCTCCTCATACAAATGTCTACCGGGATCTTCCCTCGTTATAGACAAGTATTTTATCAATGGGTTAAACAACTCTTCAAAAAATCGTTCATAGGATCTCTTTGGGAAATCAAACACACCATGAGAGCTCGAATTCCAATACAAATTTATAACCATTGTGTCCAAAGAAATTGCAAAGCCTCCCAGGGTATTATTTTGAATATAATTTAATAAGGACTTGAGCAATCGAATTCCGGTAGACTCGTCAATCTCAATAAACAGCTTTTGCATGAATATGGACAAAATTTGACGAATATATGGTAAACAATTCCATCCTTGTGGATCATTGCGTTCCATTATAATAATTGTAAGATCAACGATTTTCAAATTATGCAAAATGGTTTCGTCAAATAGACTCTGGGTTTTCATCGTTAAAGCTCTCTCTAGCAAGCCCCATACATCCTTGTTATATTTCCATTTTCCAAATTCTGACAAAGTCGACTTGTCGTTTAGGCGGTCGACGAGCAAATTCAAGACAAACCCTCTACTGTTTGGAAAATACACATCCAATTTTTGATCTAGGACATCATTCGCAATCTTTAAAATATCCTGAACGTCTGTCTCTTTGGACCTCAAGAACTTTGTGATAGTCTCCGAAGATGTGAGACTGGGCGTAGTCGATGGCATCACACAATGCTGATGTGAACTAATCTGTTGCCTCGAATCAATCTTTTTTTGCAAAAAAGTCATCTCTGCATCGCGGTACAAAGAGAAAAAGAAAAGTAAGTTACCTCTTACATACGAGACATAATACATTATGTCTCAACGAATCATGATATAAAAGAACAATGTTACTTTAAATGCTACTCTAACACCTAAACATGTGCGTAATAACTATATACTCGGCAACCAGTTGTATTTAAATCAACAAGGTCTCAATCTTATCCTTGATTCCGTAGATTTGGTTTTTGATAGAAGAAGCATCATTGGTAGTTACAGATGCGGCAATGACTGGTCTGGAAACACCACAGGCTCTTCCCAAAGCTGCCTTACTTGGGACGAAAACGTATGGAACATTCTTATCTTCGCAAAGCAATGGCAAGTGCAACAAGATTTCAATTGGCTCGGTATCAGCAGCCATAATGATAAATTCGGAAATACCTCTATTCAAAGTCTTGGTGGCTTCATTGGCACCTTTCTTCAATTGTCTAAGGTTTTGAGATTGTTGAACAACGTCCAAAATTTGCTGAGTTAAAGCGGAATCCGCTAATGGAAAGGCTTTTGGGTTTGGGGCTGACATTTTCGTGTTATTTATATCTTTTTATTATAATGAGGGCTCCTTGCAAATACTAAAATGTGTATATATAAGCTCGCCAGTAAGTTGATTGGAGGAAGAAAATTCAATATTCACGAGATGACTTGAACCGTTTCCTTTTTTTCTTTTTTCTTTTTTCTTTTTTTCTTCCAAGGGAAAGTAACTGGTAGCGTCAGTATTACGGGTAGTGTATAATGCACTAAAATCGCCCACTCCAATGGTGGCAGCAAAAAAAAAAAACCGAGCCCAATTTGAAATCCAATCGTTGATAACAACAGAGTCGACATTCATACAAAGTTCAATCTTTCAAACTTACTTTAACTACATCATGTCAGATTTATGGTACGCCAATTTCAATTATCTTTAGGGCAAGCGGGGAATGGATGTGATGATATATTGCAATGGATAGTTCGTATCGCTGTTGCAGTTTTTCAACAACACAACGTTTTCGATTGAGAATTACTGACAAGGAAGTCTCGAATCCAATGACAATCATCCAAAATAAAAATCCAGTCCTGTCGTTTTCTCTCAAATTCTACTTATCTTCCCCCAAACATTCAACTAACAATTGTTTTAGTCCTGTTTATGCGCCATTTTTTGGCTCCATTGGCTGTGCGTCCGCTATCATTTTCACCTGTTTTGGTGCATCTTACGGAACAGCTAAGTCAGGTGTCGGTATTTGTGCCACCTGTGTGACCAGACCGGATTTGTTGGTCAAGAATGTTGTCCCAGTTGTTATGGCTGGTATTATTGCTATTTATGGGTTGGTTGTGTCCGTTTTAGTCAGTGACTCTTTAGCCCAGAAGCAAGCTTTATATACTGGTTTCATTCAACTAGGTGCTGGATTGTCAGTGGGGTTGTCAGGTTTGGCAGCAGGATTTGCCATTGGTATCGTTGGAGATGCAGGTGTTAGAGGTACCGCTCAACAACCAAGATTATTCGTCGGTATGATTTTGATTTTGATTTTCGCAGAAGTTTTGGGTTTGTATGGTTTGATTGTTGCTTTGTTGTTGAACTCAAGAGCTTCACAAGATGTTACATGTTGAGTGATAGAGGCAGTGGCAGAGACGCTGAGTGATGATGTCACTTCAAGAGAAATCCAATTTATCGAGAGAGATAGGTAAACTCATAAGTCGTTGTTCGAAATGTACTTCAAAATGCAATTTATAAAGTATCACTAAACTCTAATCTACTCTATAAACTTTTGCCCTATTTGAATTGTCAACTGACGTCTCATTAGCTTGATCATACCTTCAAATTTGGTGGGAATACTCAATGTCCTCCTCCAATCATAAGCTTCCAACTCCTCATCGTCTTTCAGAATTACAGAAGCAGCGTAGAGACTTTCCCCTTCTTTTCTATCGAGCTCGCTGCTGTCGTTTTCATAATCTTCGATCAACTCAATGATTGTGAATAGGTCGGACTGATGTAGATGTAGATTTGCATCATCTTCTAAGAAAGGAAGAAACTGGCACAATAGCAAGGGTTTGAATTTTTCTGGCAAAAACTTGAATTTCAAAAGATGAAAGATTCTTGAGATCAACAACGACGAATCAGACTTTCCTGCTTTCAATGAATCATAAAACTCTTTTAAAACTGCATAAGGGGAAATGCATTGCTGAATTATTGGGTGGATGTCTAAGTCAACCTTTTGATCGACTATACCATTGATTAACTCATCTTGTATTGGCGTGTTGCATACAAGGCAATCAGTAAAAATCACGTCCCACACTATGTATTGGATTTGTTGTAATCCTTCTTTGTGAAATGAGCCAGAAGTTTTGTCAGGATCATAACATTGAACGAAATTGTCTAAAGCGTCGTACAAAAACTGCTGCTGAAATGCTCTAAGACCCGCTTGGTAATGTAAATCTCTTGCCGTGGAAATCAAGTGTAAGTCGGCGCATACCGTCAAGGCCCACTCTTGATCGTTATCTGAGAGTACTTTGTATTTAGGGAGAAATTGGGAAATTGTCCGTCTATGTCTCTCCCTAGTCTCAGGTGATGGATTAAGTATCCTGTCTGATAAAAGACCAACCCCAACTGGTACAAGTGCATGAACATTTAAACAATCATAGGCATTGCGGACCAAGAAATACTCCGAAATCTTCTTCTTATTAAACATTTCCATCAAGTTGTTGCTTCTGTGGATGTCAGTAGAGTAATATGGATTCAAATACCCCTTAAGTTCCAAAAGCAAAGAGATATATGCTGCAGTGGCAGTGTCCAATTCATCGATATTCTCAAGAGCTTTCAAAAACCTACCTTCCAAAATGTTCAAAAGACAAGACTCTGTCAATTCGTCAATATCCTCGTAATTACCATCGACAAAATTAGATGCTGGCGGTTTCTCCTTTAGTGACTGTTGCAAATACTCCAGGTACACGCTGTCGTCGTCCCGAATTTGGTACAACGAGTATGCCAAATACAATTCATACCAATTGTCACAATAGTTAGCTATGGTACGCGCAAACCCAGTCATTATGCAAGAAATGTCGTGTATCTGACTTAGCATTATTTTATAAAAGTTCTTTTTTGAATCCTCGCTAGTTGAAATCCTGACCAGAACTAAGTCATCTCTAAACTTGCAGGCTAATAGTTTCCATTGGAGGAACTGGCCCTTGAGTGCCATGTATGTATAGCTCGAAAGTAACTCCTTTAAATTAGATATAACCAAATATAAATCGTTCTCACTGTTCTCGAGTTCTTTATATTGAGAATGTTCGAGTATGTTGCAAAGTTGTTTGAATAAGCCTCTGCAAACGGCTTTGGAAATTAATGTGTTCCAAAACAATGGATGGGCATAGCATTGAGGACTGACAGTCATTACTTCGTCTATTAACTGAGCCGACGGTTGTGGATCAAACTTGTTGACCCATTTCACAATGAGTTCGGGGATTCTCCTAACATCACCAGTAAAACAAGTGGCTCTTAAGCACTCTAGGGTTACCAACAAGTAGTTAAATTTCCCTACCAATTTTTCACCTTTCGTGATCTCCGATCCTTCGGCAAAGGAGGATTTCAAGGAATTCACAATAGAGTCGAATGCATCGTCAATCATACGAGACTGCGATTGCCCCGATCTCTCATTTTGGCTAGTTATCACACCAATTGGCTGAGAAGAACTCTCTTCTTCTTCTGCCAAAATTAAATCTGTTACCAAACTCTGGACTATTTTAAAGCTGTTCTCAATATACCTGACATACTCTTTGTCCAAGGGTGTTTGATTCTCTAAGCTGGCCTTATATCTGTCTTGATCAAAACGGAAATGGAGAGCAACTTCTGAATCTAGCCACTCAGATAAAGACATGTACTCAGTTCTGTCGGAAAAGTATTGCGAAAGCGAGGAGCCGGTTGATGCATCTGAGAGAGGTTCCCTGGGGTTGAAAGCCTTGTCATTTTGTGTGGTTGAGTCTGAGACAATTCCCTCGGTTTCAGATGATATGGTGGTTTCGATCTCATCATTTTCGTCTGCCGGAAATTCCAACATTTCTATTTCTTTAAAATCTCGATTCATATTTGATGGCCCATTCGTGTGTTTTATGATGCTGTATGGCGTTTTCAGTTTTTGTTTTGCTTCTATTTTTTTCTCCTTCTGTTTCAGAGAGCGCTACAAAGAATTTTCATCAGAGGTTTTTATTCCGTTTGAGCTTCAAATCACTATGCCCTGTATTCTTATTAAAGTATGCTATATCTAGAGACAGCATTGAGAATATATCTCCTGTAGCTTAGATCGATTCGCATTCAAGGATTGAAATTTATCATCTATTGCTGCTTTACTGTCACCAAAAAATGAAGGAAGAGTTCTGCCATCAATTACACTAGCTGCTCTCAGAAGACCGAAGTTATCATGGTCTAACTCCTTAACGCTAATTGTTGAAAGATTGTTCTTCCGTGCGTAAGTGGTTAATTCTTGTTCGCAGTTTTGGAGTATCTCTTCCCAAGCCGTATCAAGAATAATATTCAAAGTATAAATGCCTCCGCTTAGAGTGCCAATCCTAGCTAGTCTAGCGACTTCTTTGATTTCCCATTCCGAGCCTATTATGGAATTAATTTGATCACCTTCAATCAGAAACTTCACCATTAGTGGGTCAAATTTTGAAGCAGATCCATCGAATATACAAATATCACCGGATGTGTAGCCCGCAACACGCAAGTTCTTTCTGCTTGGAGGTGCTTTCTGGGATATGGTTGTCAAATATTTACCCGCAGAATTTAATAGACCCAGATCCCTCAATTCGAACGAATCACTCCCATACGAATTGATTCCTGCGATGGCATCGGCTATGATAACTGTGTGTTCGCCGATTGTCAGAGCCACCCCGAGTGAAGATGCAGGCATAAAAGCGTGCGGTATTGCTGCGAGTTGAAACCCCTTCAAGTAGCAGAGGTTGCAAAGAAAATTGAGACTTCCCGTTACTACGTAATTCGCCAAAGGGGATCCTTGACTGCTTGCAATGCTCGTGAATTTCAAATCGCTAGCGCTCTTCATACCAGATATATGAATCCTTTCAATGAGCTTTATTTGGGAATTTAAAACTTTGAATATAGCAACAGGTGATTTATCAGAAGATGATGATAAACATATGAAGCCTGTAAACGTGTCCAATTTTATAGACTTTAGCTGATGTTCAGTAAGTTCGCACAAGTCTACTATCTCTGTATCATCGTGGAATTTGAAAACATCACAGATCTCGAGATTTATGGAATCAACAAGTAATAATTCCGTTTTTATCTCATTAGGAGAACTCGTTGTGTCATATGCCACAACAATTGCATAATTTGTAGTTCCTAGTGGTAAGCATTTGATGAATAGCTTTTCTGAGTATAATGAGCTAAACTCTTGTAATCGAGCTAGTTCTCCAAACTCTATTGCCCATTTTTCAACTTCTCCATTATCAAGTGCAACAATTACGTTGCCGAAACAACGCTTCTCCCGACCCAGCAGGCTATCATCCTCTCTGTAACTATCAAATCGAACATCAACCACATGCGGTCTCTCAATTTTGGTATATCCAAACTGATCCAATGCGTGAACTTTTTTAGGTATCACTAATCCTTCTGAATTGAAACCCAAGATATTGCTTCTGCTTCTCCTCCATAGATACGGAATATTAGACAATTTCTCGCAAGTGCTTTTAGTTGGTATTAACGTCTCATTTGACATCCTAAGTTGGACCTGATTGACAAAACCGTTGATAAACAGGAAAAAAATGTATACCGATATCGCTTCTTCTTGATTGAATGACCTCTCTGTGTAAATACAAGATGAGAAGACTGCTTGCTCTGATGATCCTTCAAACACCAATTTCGGACGCTCGCCATTCGACCTCCATATCTTGTATTTTCCTGAGAAAAATGAACAAAGTATCCAGTACGTGCCTTTATCGTTACACACATCCATGCTTGAAATCTCATCGTCATTTCCGAAAAACATGTCGCATATGTAGCAAAACCGAAATCCGTTTGGACTTCTCAAAAAATAATAAACATGAAGATGATTATCAGTGGTTGCCATTGAAACTATCCCCTCATTGGGCAGGATCGTACCAAGCTTTATACTACGTTCAATTATCACATTGCCATTCGCAAGTAATTTACTTCGAGTCAAAGCGATATTGGTTGTTTCAGTCTCTAATAGCAGCAAAACATCCTCGTCAAGATGGTCCACACTGGTAACCGCAGTAAAATCTTTTCTTAAGACCCTCCCGTTGATGTTAGTACTCTCGCCTGTAGAAGTTCCAAATATGTATCTATCCTCTGACTCACCAATGAATTTCAACGGGCTTTCGGATACTCTTGAAATCCCCATGACCTGGTACTTACAACTTGGAAGTGTGTATCTTCTCAACTGGCTACCGTCCCATCCACCTTGGCAAGCAAATAGTTCCAGGCTATTGCATGTTTCTTTTAAATCAATTACTGGCGGGTTTCCTTCGATCGAATTTAGTATATTGATATTGGGCCTTGTAGGTAAAATTTCAAAAAGGACAGATTTCGACGTTTTCGACGCTTGAAAGAATTGATTCCCATCAACATGATGTAGCCCATTGAAAATAGGTGTAGTGATGTAATCAAGGTCCAAAAAGTTTATTTGGTTGACTATGAGGCTGCTACTTGTAGAAACCAGGAGGTCAATAAAAAGCATGAAACATTTACCCTCCGCCGTTGTCAAAAGTGTTCTTTGCGAATCAATTAGTTCAAAACACTTGTAGATCGTCTTGTGTTTCCCCCTTCCTGGTTTATTCAAAGTCATGATTAGGTGGACATCATCTGTTTTAGTTGAAATGAGTACATTCTTCATCTGTCTTTCTATTGATATATGCCTATATTGCTCAGGCGGAAAGTAAAACATGCTGGAGCCAGTAAGCACAATCAAGCCACCTGGGTTTTGGACACAAGGTAGTATTAACGACGGTTCTTCTGCAAACAGATCTAGCTGTCTAGCCACGACTAGGCTGGAGGTGTTTGAACAAAAATCTAAATATCGAACGTAGTAGGATGAAGTTATATCCTTGTAGAGCACGGCTAGCGACCAGATGTCGAGTGTCCTCTTTGTACCTTCACGGGTCAGTTTATCATAGACGGTTCTCGGCAAATGCACCATTTGCTTGATATCGATCTGTCCAGTGCTGTAGGTGGTGGGAGTTACCGCCTTATTAAAATTCAAGAGTAACTCCTTGACAGAAAACACTTGAATATTTGAGTAGAATATATGAAATATTATGTACTCTGGGTCAATCTCCTTCAAAGGAATAATTATTGGGGCGTCGAGGTTGGGAGACTCGCGTTGACCCTGGGTAGAAAGCTTGACAGCGGTTCTTATTGGGGCGTTTATATCGTTTCCATGCGGGTTAAACTGGCTGAGATCTAGAAGCTTCACTTTGTACGCGGAATCAAGTAATATCACATACACAAAGGATTTGTGGCTAAACTTTGCCCACGATAGTATCTTGTGCTCTACGCTCCACGTTGTTACAAGCTCCAATGCTTTTCCTTTGAAAAGGTAAACAGCAATGCTTTTTCCTTGTGCGAGCAATAGTACCTTTTTGCCTTTCACGTTGACAACTAGAGATGACGATATCGCTCGCAAGGAATTTGACGTCTCGGTCAATATAAACATTATTTATGATCTTGAAATATGTGTGTAATTTTATTTGAGTGGAACCAGTGATTGGGCCTCGTAGTTGTATATTTTTCAAAAATTGTTCCGACTGTCCCCACAATGGCACCGATGATTTCCGTTTGTTCCTCTATTGATTGCTTATTGTTTTGTTATTTTTCCTTTGGTGAGATAATAGATGGACAGATAAATCACAAAGCTGTTTCGGTACAGCCTACATATCAAACAAACCCCCTTTAACAAATGCATTCCTTATTTAACAACCCTGCCAATTGCCATTGCAAGCATTTTATTTTGAATTGAATTTGACTCAAGGGCTAATCTTTTACCATATTTCTCAATACTAAATTTACTCAGCTTAGAACGCAAAAGCAACCATACATTCTTGAGAGAAACGCTCCGCCTCAATTTAATGGCGTACAGCACGGGTGAGAAAGGTCTGACCAGTACGAGCAAGGCCGCGTGGAGCTTGAAGGGGCTATTTACGTTAGCTATAGATTCAACATCTGCAAATCCTACGTCAAGATCAAGTGTCCCATCTAACCAAACAGACGGTAAGGATCGCCCATCTACCGACAAGAAACTGAAAAAAGGATCAAAAAACAGTGCTGCATGTCAGACTTGTCTGAGCAGCCTGTCATCTAACCACTCTCAGATTATCAACAAGTGCTTCTGTTGCAACACGATTTTAGCATTCCCCAATAGTGCTACAAAATACAAATGTTCCGTCTGTCACACGACAAATTTTGTGCACCCCCAACAACACGGACAAGCATCTTCCCCGTCAAAAGCGACTGATTTTATTTCCCTTCTGGATATTGAATGCATGGTTCAAGAGTGCTTCTCGTATGCCTCGTCCGAGGAAGGCAAAGGGAAGCCTGTACGTGAAATATTCCAGTCAGTGTCCTCATACTTGTATAATGGCTTCAAATCATATGAGGTTCTCAGCAACTCGTTCAAAGTTAAGCAGCTGGACTATCGGCCACACCGCCATACTGCAAACATAAACTTTGCCGAAATCAGGGACACGTTCAACCTATTAACTAAGTTGCCCACAAAAAGACCTTTACATTCGGCTTTGAAAGGAGCTAGTGATCAACTAAAGAGAATACTGTCTCCATCTAGCCGTGTGATGCACTACAGATGGCTTTTTATTCTACTTGAGATCCCCATTTTGTCCAATGCTTTGGTTCCTCACGATGTGAATGCACGGGCAATGACCAACGAACTTGAGATCAAGACATTGTGTTATGACATATTGAAACGATGCTTGGGAGTCCTCTCCTGCGTCGATGATACCAAAGTAGTTAGCTATTGGATTTCTTGGATATCCCATTTACATCTTGACTCGTTTGTCCATAAAGTGGAAATCATCAATCTATATATCACGTTTCAATTGAAGAAGTACTTTTATTTGGCAAATAACCCACATATAAAGCTTGTGTTTACTCCGTCTCCAGATATCCCAGAGTCGGACCAATTGGAGTATTTCCAGCATGTGAATCTAAAGAACCACATTGAAAGTACACCCACCTCGCTGAGTTTGCCTGGCCCACTTCAAGTGCCACTTTCACAACTCAGCAACGGAACGCCTACAAGGGGACCTACGACTAAAGGGAAAACTAAGAAAGAGGCAAAGATTAGAGTACAACAATATGGTAACGATTGGCGAATAATGTCGGCTCTGAGGGTGCTCTCTCTATTCCTACGAGCGAACAAGATGAGGGATGATAAAAAGGTACCGGTGTCCCTATTTTACAACTCCCTTGTTGATTTTGTCAATATAAAGTTGGACTTTGATTCGTGGCAAAGTAAAAAGAAATTGCAAACGATGCACGTTTGCAAAGAGCCTGAACTAAAATCAATTATCGGATTCATTCATGGGAAAAGTATTAATAACAGTCTATTTGATGATGCTTTGCTTTATATATGTCAGTACCCATTTCTCATCTCATTGGGAAGCAAAATATCGGTTTTGGAGTACGAGGCTCGAAGGCAAATGGAACGTAAAGCAGAGGAAGCATTTATTAACTCTTTGGATAAAAGAATTGTAATAGATGTGTACCTCAGGATCAAAGTGAGGCGGGACCATATTGTACAGGATTCCATGAAAGCGATCAAGCAGAACTTGACTAATTTGAAAAAGAGTCTTAAAGTCCAGTTCATCAACGAACCAGGCGTGGATGCCGGTGGTCTTCGCAAAGAGTGGTTCATCTTGCTAGCCAAAGAAATTTTTCACCCGCAAGCAGGGTTGTTTCACAACGTTGAAGATTCGAATTTGTTGTGGTTCAACATCATTCCGCTTGAAGATCCCGAGATGTACTTTTTGTTTGGTGCAGTGCTTGGTCTCGCCATATATAACTCTACAATCTTGGATTTACAATTTCCAGTTGCATTGTACAAAATATTGTTGGGTAAATCGCTCGATAAAGAAGATTACAAGCAGTTGTACCCGGAATCCTATAGAAGCCTAAATCAATTGAGATCCATGACTGAAGAGCAGTTGAAAGACTTGGAGTTGACGTTCGAGGTTACTGTGAAGGATATTTTCGGACAACCCCACACTAAAGCATTGGTGGCAAATGGCGGCAAGATAACTGTAGTCAAAAATAATGTAGATGAGTACGTCACTAGGTACATGAGATTTTTTACACGGGAGGGAATTCGGGAACAATTGGACTCATTCACCGAAGGCTTTAATACCGTCATTGCAGGTAATGCACTATCATTATTTCTGGAGGAAGAGATTCAGCTTTTGCTATGTGGAAGTGATGATCACAAGATTGATATCGATGTTCTACAATCGATAACAAAGTATATTGGATGGCCGTCAAATAGCGATGCTGTAAATTCCAATGTAATCAAGTGGTTTTGGGAATATCTTGCCACGCTGAGCAACTCGCAACGCAAAAGATTACTCGTTTTTGTCACCGGGTCAGATAGGGTTCCGGCAACAGGAATACAAAACTTACCTTTTAAAGTGAGTCTTCTTGGACATGGACTCGATAGCGAGAGACTTCCAATAGCACACACGTGCTTCAACGAATTGGCTATCTACAACTACAGCAGCAAAACAAAAATGATTGATAAATTGCACAAAGCAGTGAATGAAAGCTCTGGGTTTGGTATTAAATAGCCCGTTTGGTTACATATAGAGAGAGACATGTGCTGCATCATAAGAGTAAAGTCTCTGCCGCGCTACCTTTTCAATTTAAGCCAATAAAATCCATTGGAAAAAGTATTGAATAATATACACTGTATAATCCTGCATATAATGTTTCTCTCTACTTTTTTCATTTTCAAACTATCACTCTCACCGGTCTTCGAAAAAAAAAATAAAACAGCACCCTATTTGCTCAAAAGTCAGAGTAACAACAAGATCCAACTTTTATAGAAAGAAATACGTCATGTCATCACTCGCAGTGAGATCATTGAAGAATGGTTTGGGTTTGAAGAGTATGTTCAACTTTTTTTTGTTACTCTCCTTTTTCCGATCCTCAGAAGAGCAAGACGGTGTGACTTGGTCACATCGATGATCAAAAATTTGCCAGCAAGTGTGTGTTTCTTTGGGGTTACCTAATTGTGGCTACACCTGAGTGACTTCATTTGCTATATTATCAATCGATATCCATGAACTCTCTGAGATATCTTTTCTTAAGCGAGCTATACCAATAGCAGTGTACTAACTTAACCATAGCCTCAATCAGAACGTTATCCTCAACTTCATCCCAATTGTCCAACTATCAACAACCTGACTTTTCCTCCTATTTAAACCAGAAGACCCCACAAAGCAGTAGAAATTTCACTTACTTTATGGTTGGATCCATGGGTTTGTTATCTGCTGCCGGTGCAAAGTCCACAGTGGAATCATTTCTTTCATCTTTTGCTGCATCTGCTGATGTTTTGGCTATGGCCAAAGTTGAAGTCAAGTTGGGAGCCATCCCATTAGGTAAAAACGTTATTGTGAAATGGCAAGGTAAGCCTGTTTTCATTAGACACAGAACACCAGAAGAGATTGAAGAAGCAGAAGAAGTTGACATTACTAAATTAAGAGACCCACAAAAAGATTCCGATCGTGTTAAGAAGCCAGAATGGTTAGTCATGTTGGGTATCTGTACGCATTTGGGATGTGTCCCTATTGGTGAAGCAGGTGATTTCGGTGGATGGTTCTGTCCATGTCATGGTTCCCACTACGATATCTCAGGAAGAATAAGAAAAGGACCAGCACCATTGAACTTGGAAGTACCTGAATACACTTTCCCAGATGATGATACATTGACTGTTGGTTAATCATATTTATTCGACTGACTCACTCTCCTGTATAATATAATACAAAAAATTCTACAAAGTTGATTAAAGGGAAGTTGTAGAAACTTGCGCCGGCAGTTGTCTCTAGATGAGTTTGCTGGTGCTAGTGCTTGTACTACTGCAACTACCCATTGTTCGGCAGTGGGTGGGGATCTTGTAGACTGTATTTATAGTAATTAGCTACTACACTGCAACTATGTTTAAGTCAGAATAATTGTCACTACTGAGAACGAGTGATCAGACAAGTTCCGTCACTTAAGCCTTTACTTTTGGTTTGCCATTTCCCAAAGCTTATTTGCAATATAAGGTATCTGGGAGACTCATTTGTTCCTATTTCAATGCAAAATAAGTGTAAACTTGATGATAACGCAAAGTAGTTTCGTTTATGCAACAAAATACACAAAAGTTATTTATAACAAGATTTCTCTATTTATCTATAGAACGAATACACAAATAACTAATACAAACACAAGAAGAAAAGCAAACGAGATCTAAAACAGCAAAAGATCATGCTTTAGCAATCCATTTCATACATCAAACACCTCAATTTTAGCTTTTGCGTGGTTTTTGGCAGTCACAATACAGTACTCGGCCCCTAATGATGATCCCGAAGATGGTCCTTGTGCTTTGTTGTACCCATTCTTAGGATTCAACTCACACTCCAAACCATTACAGTCTTTAGGGTTGTCACAAACAATTCTGAGGCCATACTTTGGCTTCTTTCCGTTAAAGTCGTCAACATGCTTTGGATTGACTCCTATTTTGATGAAGGTATTTCCGTTGGTATCAGTGTTCATGCCAGCCACATAGGGAGCCCAGTTTCCCAATTCTTCATCCGTTGTTCCCCAAACACAGCCATCCTCGGTTGATACACCAGGTGGATTGACGTAGTAATGAGCAGCAGTTCCAGCGTAATATTCCGGTCCTGGAACAGCTAACGTTTGTTCATCACCACTTTCAACATTAGTCGGAATCAACATGGCCTCATTTCCTGGAAGAACAGTTTGACAAAAGGCACAATCCTTAGAAGCTTTGTTGACCACTGAAACTGTTCCTTCACCATCAACACAGAGACTCCTGTCACCAAATGGTTTACTCGTAGATCCGTCACTATTGCAATATAAACCTCCATCCATGGATGTTGGGTATTGATACTTGGTAGCAGCAGGGTTCCATTGGTTCATTAGCTGGCCAGGTGGACAAGCATAAGGACAGTATTTTCCAGGTATGCAAGCTTCATCTGGACTCATTGCCCAGCCAGCGTTGACTCCCTCCTCGTAAACTGGAACAAGATCTTCGTTTTCGGGGAACTTGCATGCTTTGATAGGGTTTGCTGAACACGCTGAGTATAACGAATACAACACAAATAACTTTGATTTAAGCAACATTTTATACTGAGTTTATTGTTAACGAAGGAAGAAGAAAGTATATCTCAAACTAAGACATAGAAGAGCTATGTGCACCATCTTATATATTCGCTTTTGCGGTACCTTTGGATGATCTGATGGAAAGATCGTTTCATAATCGTTGGGTTAAACCATAAACTACATTGATTAAAGCCGCTAAAATAAATTGTATGATAAGTGATTCTGGATAACAATATTTTTTTGGAAAAGAAATATAAAGTGGTTAGGTTGCAAAATTAAACAGAATAGGCCTATTGTTAATAGTATGCAGGACCACCCTGCAGAAGCATGCATTCATCACCACCACCAACTGACTTTTTTAAAGTACAATCTATGAAAACACACGTGGTTTTTAGAAAAAGAAACGGGCCCTAAGAGAAATTAAAAATGGTGCTGCAATCAAAAATCAACTGCAAAACGCCAAAGAAGTCATATCGGTTTGCGATGCTTTTTAGAAGTCACGTGAAATATGGATGTCTCATTTTTTTCTAATTACAGCGAGTGGGAGACTCGTAGTATGCATTATCACACTCAAGCAATGCCCCAAAGCAGTTCGTACCACCAATGACCGTTTCAAAAAACGAAATATAGTTGGGTTGGGCTGCTCTTCTTTGTCGCATATTTGTGTGTCTCCTTTAGTGTCGCAATTAATGTCGCATTGAAAACAAAGTCCAAAAAGTGTATTTCAGATGCGCTATACCACTTCTACAAAACTGTATCAATTCCGTGCTAACAAATGGTTTCAATCACTCGAGCAGCTAATTGGGACAATGTTTATGAGCAGCAATTCATTGCAATACCACCTACGGGAGACGAAGTCGTATTGTATCAAACAAGCCATGAAGATCCCAATATTGAATCCAATACAATAGTTCCACTTAAATCGAGAGGCGGATTTGACAACATCCAATGTTCAAGTTACTTGAGCACTAGACAAGGGGTTATAGGAGTGGGGTCGATAAATGGTGAGATATCAATATTTGACATCAATTCGTCATCCTCCTCTGCCTTGCATTTACAACCAAAACAACATAGACCTTGTAATTCTGTTTCGTTCAGTCATTCTAATTTGTTAGCAGCAGGATTCGACAAGGGAAGACAAGATAACTCATTACAAATCTGGGACATACAAGAATACCCCAACTCTAAAAGTACACTTGATGATGCCACATCCAAACGCCCCGTGCTGTCATATATTCCCAACGAAGCTGTATTATCGACCGTGTTTCTTCCTGACAGGGAATCTAACGTAATTTGTGGCTCGTATAAGTTTTTGAGAGAGGTAGACACTAGGGCAGATCTGCCAATATATCAGATTGCCACGAAATGTACGTTGGGATTGATGGTGGATCCATTCCAACCACATTTGTTCCAATCGTATAGCGAGGACGGATCCTTGTCTATTTGGGACCGAAGAAAGCTCACGAGTAACAATCGAAAGCCAAAGGCTTCTAGTGGGAATATCCTCACTGAAAACCCCTTGTTGCAATTTAATAAGCTATTGAGTGGTTCGTCATTCAGAAAGAATCTTCGTCCATGTGTCCGCTACTCTGCTGTTCGGAGGGGTGAATTTGCTTCGATATACAATGGTGATCTCATAAGACGGTGGCACACTGGTGTTGTGCCACCAAAGAAAGTGATACCTAATAGGTCATTTGAATCTGCGACATTACAAAGCTTGGTCCAGCAATCTTCCGTATTGTACAAACCAACAGAGGAATCTTTATTCGTTTCGATGGTTCTTGATGTCAAGACCGATTATGAAAAGGTTGTATCATTTGACTACTCTCCGGACATTTTATCTCATACATCGACTAATTTTGTGTGCATGAGACAATCGGGATCGGTGTTTAGAATGCCAGTCGTTGAATCAATCGAAGCATTGGATTTTAATCCTTGCAATGAGTTTTCAATTGCTGGGCCTGAAGGGACTACTACCAATTTCCTCACACCGGATGTATCTCAAGATACTGCGATCGGTAATCAGAGGAGAAGAAAGCTGTCTCAAATAAAGCTCGATGATTTGTCAATTGACGAAAACTTCAGAGGAGGAGAATACGAAGAAGACCACAATTCACTTGAAGGCACCTCAATGACTGTTGATGATAGCACTGGCGATAGAGCCACCTCCAATGGGAAAGAGTTTGCATACGACGAACACGAATCTGAACCCATTTTCAATACGTACTTAGATTCTAATTCCATTAATATCAATGACATATGTGTTGTGATTAGAAGGCGGGCAAGTATGGGGTACGGGGTCCTTCCAGATAAAAACATTGAAATTTTAGAAAAGCTTGATCCAAATGACAACCAACTAGCACTAAGACATGTGTGGAAGTGGCTCAGTTTAGCCAAGAAATCATTGGACAAAGGAACCATGGTTTCAGAAGGAATTGATTTAGGGTATCAGGGAGTGCAAGGTATTTGGAACGGAGTTGATGCTTTGAACGATCAAAATCGAGTCATTTCTGCTAGAGACAAAATCAATGAAGCTTGGTTCACACAAGCTGTAAAGTCAATAATTGCTTCAAAAGGCAAAAAAATTATCGGAATCAATATACCAGAGGATAGTGAAAAGAAGGCACAGCGTAAGCTATGCTTGATTGTCTCCGGTTGGTACCTTACCGAGAATGAGTTTGAAGACAAACTACAGCAATTAATTTCCTTAGGAATGGTCTCGAAAGCAGCTGGATGGGCGGTTTTCCATGGGAACGTGGCCAAGGCTATTGAAATTTTGAGCAACTCTAAAAAGGAAAGGTTAAGGTTGATGGCCACAGCTATTGCTGGATATTTAGCATACAAAAACACAAATACAAATAGTCCCTGGAAAGACCAATGCCGAAAAATGGCGTCAGAGTTAGATGATCCGTATTTGAGAGCAATATTTGCTTTTATTGCCGATGATGACTGGTGGGATGTTTTAGATGAGCATTCTCTTCCATTGAGAGAGCGAATAGGGGTTGCTATAAGATTTCTACCAGATCGTGATTTGTCTGTTTATTTGAATCGAATTGGCGATACTGTTGTGCAGAGGGGGGAACTCGAGGGATTAATCTTGACTGGAATCGCTCCGAGAGGTATTGATTTATTGCAGAGTTATGTTGACAGAACCAGTGATGTTCAGACAGCGGCCCTACTTTCGGCATTTGCCTGCCCCAGATACTTTGCTGATAACAGAGTGAGACACTGGATCGATTGTTATCGGACCCTTTTAAATAGCTGGCGCATGTATAGCGTCAGAGCAAAGTTGGATGTGTCTCGAACAAAGTTGTCAAAAGCATTTGACGGTGAAAAGAAAATCAAAGCTGTGCCTAAGCAAGTGTACCTTCAGTGTAACCGTTGTAACAAGAACATATCAAAGGGATACAATAACAAGAACAGTCAAAACTTGATGAAACAGTTTTCGAAGCCCGGCGGGAAAAAGAGTGACCTATTGAACGCATGTCCTCATTGTGGTGCACCTTTGCCCAGGTGCTCGATATGTTTATTGTCTCTTGGGTCGGAAATAGCACTGGACCACAATAACGCCACCACCTCCATTAATGAAGAAATTGACAATAAATTTAAAAATTGGTTTAGTTTTTGCTTGAGTTGTAATCATTGTTACCACGCCCATCATGCAGAAGAGTGGTTTTCAACACATAGCATCTGTCCTGTCCCTGATTGTGGTTGTCAATGCAATAATAAATAAAGTAAATCAAATAGTGTGTAGTATGTATTTGGTAGCACTAATTTCCAAAAGGAGGAGAAGTTCATACATTTTGTGTTGTCATTGTCATTGTATTTGTATTTGTATTTGTATTGTGTTGTGTTGTGTTAATAATATGAAAACAAAAAAAAACTAACAAAAATAATATCAATAATTCATGGTTGATCCCAACCAAAACAAAAAAAAGAAAAACATGTTTTTGTTATCCTCAAATTAATTTACACTACTCTTTTTTTTTTTTGATCAACTAAACACTCTGAGGTTCAAGTTCATACCTATTTCCACTTTGCTAGAAAAAACCGAAGGAGGGACAAAAGAGGACTACCTTTTATAAGTGTCGCATATTAGGAAACTAAAACCAAAAGTACCACACGATCATATTTGCATTCCAATCCAAATCACTACTTTGTTTATATTTTTTTTTTTTGACGGCGATTTACAGTTTGATTCGAAATTAAAAACCATGTCACGTCCAGGCCAAAACCAGAACCCGGACGATGTGATAAAGGATATCAGGAGCAAGATGGAGATTGAACAGAAGATCATTCAAGGATATCAGGACGTGAAGCGAAGTTCAACAAATGCCGAAGTTGTTCAGAAATGTAAATCAAAAATTGTTGAATCGCAAACTTTGATTGATTATTATCAGGAGTCCATCAACAAACTATCTCGACAGATGCAGAGGATGAATATAAGAAGCGGAGATGACAGAAGCTCGACCATATCTGAGTACAAACCATCGTACTCGAGATTGGACTTGATCAAGTACGAGTGTCCTTCCTTGGGCCATAAGATTCAACATATGATTCAGCAGTTGCAATTCAAGCTCCAAGTTGAAAACCAGTATGCCGAAGCCAACAAAAAGATATCGCATCTTTATCTCATGGATGGTGATAGGTCTTCAAGTAATGCAGCTGAAGGAGGCCGTGCCGAAAGTGATCAGAGAATACAACTTTTGGAGAAGGCATTAAAGAAATATCAAAATTTCAACATTAATTCAGAGGATTTCAATAGAGACTATGAGATTATGGACACTCCAAAACACGCAAGGAAACCATTGAGTGGTAAGTTAACGATCGCGGTCGCGTGCGTGAGAGATGTGGATCATATGGCTACAGCTACATTCAAGAAAAGGGATACAATAGTGACGGTTAAGATCGATGATGTTGAAAGGGCAAGAACCAAGCCATCGAAGAATGATAATTGGTCGGAGGAATTACTCATCAATGTGGAAAAGGGCCATGAAATTGAATTGGTTGTGATGGATAAACTGAATGGAACTTACGTCCCCGTTGCTGTGAATTGGCTTTCTTTGTTTGATGTTGCAGAGGAAATACGTAAAAAGAAGGTTGCAAAGGACCAAGGAGCCAGTGGGTGGCTACCTGCGAGTAATTTGCCGCAAGCAAATGGCACAAGTGGTGGCAGTGGCAGTGGCAGTTATGGAGCATCGAGCTGGGGAACAAATTCGACATTGAATATCCCACAAGCTGATATCACCCCTCTGAGGTCCCCTAACAAGCCTGATTTTGCTAGTGGCGGTGAATCTTACCAAAAAGTGTCTGTCAATACTTGGTTGAGTTTGGAGCCTTGTGGTCAAATGTTGATTAATATAAATTTTGAAAAATCCATTAGCCAAGGTAAGCAATTCAAGGGGCCCCTTGGGAGACATGGTGCTATCCGTCAAAGGAAGGAGGAAGTATTTGAACAACATGGTCATCAGTTTGTGCAAAAACAATTTTACAACATTATGTGCTGTGCACTTTGTGGTGAGTTTTTACGTTACACTGGGTTCCAATGTCAAGATTGTAAATTTTTATGTCATAAAAAGTGTTATCAAAAGGTTGTCACCAAGTGTATTTCAAAATCTGGTTCCGATTATGATGCTGCTCAGTTGAAACATCGTATTCCACATAGATTTGAACCTGTGACCAACCATGGTACTAAATGGTGTTGCCACTGTGGGTACTTGTTACCATGGGGCAAAAAGAATGCTAGAAAGTGTTCTGAATGTGGAATAATGTGTCATGCCCAATGTACTCACTTGGTGCCCGATTTATGTGGAATGTCATTACAAATGGCTAACGAGATTCTTGCCACTATTAAATCAACTAAAGTGTCACCAAAGAAGCTTAAACAACCTCTGGAGAAAGTTTCTGTACTGGAAATGAAGCAAGAGCCAAATTATTTGAGTCTGGAATACAAAATGCCCTTTCAGCAAGAGAAGCAATTGCAAGAGCACCTGCCACAACAACCAAGAAAACCATTACCTCCAAAGCCATCCATGTTGGGTAAATTATCAGTTGACTCTGTAGACACATTACGCGATTCATCGGAAGAGGAACCCGATGACACCGACTTCAATGCCAAACTTCCCACCACAACACAAAAGGCATATCAAGCACCAATGGATAATGTTTCTCATACTCGTACAGCTAGACGTCGTCCACCGGTTGATGATGAGCAAAATAGAGATTTTGCCAATGGGCATCAGTATCGTCACCCATATGGTGAGGAAATGCGTGTTCGTGAAACCATTTCTCAAGGTGATGACCAAGCACCCAATGATACTGGTGATTATGCTATGGTTAATGAGCAGTCATTTATTGCTGATGATGATCAAAACAACGATGGGGTAAATGATGCATTTGGCGACTTTGATTACAAGAATCAATTTACTGAGAATCAAATCATCTCACCCGAAGTTAAGGATGAGGTAGTTGTCAGTCCCTTTTTGGATCAAAAGGACTCTTCACTTCAGAATGAGCATCACGGGAAAATAGAATCATTGGATCCTTCATTGCCGGTTCAACATGAGGAGGAGTACAAGGTAAATAAGCCCCATCACAAGACTCACCATCGCGGACATTCAGGAGTGACAACCCATTCTGGTAAATCTTCATCAGGTAAACCCAAGCGTCGGAAAAGAAAAGTTGGTTTGGATGATTTCCAATTTCTTGCCGTTTTGGGTAAAGGTAATTTTGGTAAGGTGATGTTGGCTGAATCAAGACATACATCTAACTTGTGTGCTATTAAAGTGTTGAAGAAGGATTTCATTGTTGAAAATGATGAAGCCGAAAGTGTTCGATCGGAGAAGCGAGTATTTTTAACGGCAAATAAGGAAATGCATCCATTTTTATTGAATTTACACTGTTGTTTCCAAACGGAAAATAGAATATATTTCGTTATGGAGTATATATCTGGTGGGGATTTAATGTGGCATATACAAAAGAATCGTTTTTCAGCCAAGAGAGCCAAATTTTATGCGTGTGAAGTGTTGTTGGGGTTGAAGTATTTCCACGATAACGGTATCGTTTACCGAGACTTGAAGTTGGATAATATCTTGTTAACAACCAAGGGACATATAAAGATTGGAGATTATGGGTTGTGTAAAGAGAATATGTGGCATGAAAATACGACATCCACGTTCTGTGGTACACCTGAATTTATGGCCCCTGAAATTGTTGCTGGTAAAAACTACACTCGAAGTGTTGATTGGTGGGCATTTGGAGTTTTATTGTTTCAAATGTTGCTTTGTCAATCTCCGTTCAAAGGTGATGATGAAGACGATATCTTCAATGCTATTGAACACGATGAAGTTAAATATCCTGTGAGTTTGTCGCGTCAAACGGTTCTTGTATTACAAGCATTGTTAACTAAAGATCCGCAACAACGATTAGGTAGTAGCGAACGAGATGCCGAAGAAATTATGGAACATGCATATTTCCAGGATGTTAATTTTGATGACGTTTTGAATTGTCGTATACCTGCTCCGTACATTCCTGAGATTACTTCTGAGCATGATTATTCTAATTTCGACCAAGAGTTTACTTCAGAAACACCAAGATTAACCCCTGTGGAAACAGTATTGACTTCAGAGATGCAAGAACAATTTAGAGGATTTTCACACATTTCTGAAACAGCTGCTGTTTAGAGGAGAGCGAGAAAGAGAGAGAGAGAGAGAGAGAGCTGGGTGCAGTGAGCAACAATAATGAGACNAGGATTTTCACACATTTCTGAAACAGCTGCTGTTTAGAGGAGAGCGAGAAAGAGAGAGAGAGAGAAAGAAAGAGAGAGAGAGAGAGAGAAAGAGAGAGAGAGAGCTGGGTGCAGTGAGCAACAATAATGAGACTTTTTTTAGGTTTTTAAGTGAACACTTTACTCGATATGTGCCTATACGATTTTTTAATACACACTGACTCTATTTTTTTATTTTGTTATTCTTGATGTAGAACAGGAGTTGCTTTTAATGTGGCCATGAAGTTGATACTATGTCCAATTTGTTGTCTAATGGCTACTTGCGTGCGGGTGTACCCCTTGCCTCATTCATAACTAAAAGTTTTACAAAAGACACCAATCTCATTCCACATTACGGGTAATTAATTAAAAAACTTGTCATATAAAAACAACTCAAAATCCACTGCTCTGGGCGTTTGATGCATTTGGAATATAAATTTCCAGGTTTTGGTACTTGATAAAGTGTCGGCGTTTACCCTCCTTTTACGATAAGCGCTCGCATAAAAAGATTTCCCTTTCGCAATCGGTTTCCCGCATTTTCGTTTTATCTTTCATCCGCATTAGCATAAAGTCCGTTTTATTTTTTGCAATCAGAGTGTGAGTTGTTTACTTACATTTTGTTATAATGTTTCTGTGTATATCTTCATCCACGTCTATAATTGGAATTATCTATAAAAGCAGTGTATATAATTCGCCCAAAAGTTCTATAAAATAGCCAAAAGGAAATAAACATCTTTAAAATCATCAAAACTATCATCATTTCATCATCGCGTAACTGATATATCGTAAATCAAGGTGAAACTGTGTATTACCCACTCTGTTTCCTATTCGAAAGTAGGGTATGTACTGTCAGCTTTGTTTGCAACAACAACTCAGGTAATAACACAACACTTGTTTTTCAGGTTGTCGTAATCCTTGCTCGTAGCCTGCTTTTTATTATAACTTCGTCTATTATTTGTACTTTGCTCCTTTTCAGAAACAACATTGATTTGATCTTGTTCAGTTTTTGGATCAGTTGGTAGTGGTGCAGCTTCAGCAAGAGTGGTTTGTGAAGTAGATGGGATGTGTGGTAGTAGGGTAGGCTTCTGAGGGATTTGCTCCAAGTGGTTGTTGTTGACATTGCTATCGCCACCTTCAGTAGGACTTTTTGTTTTCGCAAGTTTTACTGACTTGGGAGAATGTGCTTGTCTTAACTTTGAAGGCAGGTGTGGTTGTACACGCAACAGTGAATTAGTCCTCATGGCAGAAAGTGAATTGGCATAATTAAGACTCATAGAACTATTGCGTGATAAATTGACATCCTTCGCATGAGCAACAGCCCCCTTAATTTGCTCCATTTGTAAATTTGAAGACGATGGCTGATCTTCTACTCGTAATTCACTTATCACATCAATAACATCTTGGAAAACCTCTGCAACACCAATATTCTCCTTTGCTGAGCATTCTCGAAATGAACGGCAATTTAATTTAGTTGCCAAATCCCCGCCTTCTTCAAAACTTACATGTCGTTGAGTTTCCAAGTCTGACTTACAACCAACTACAAAACATGGTGGCATTACTTTTCTAAACAGATTGATATGATGGTAATAATCTTCGATTGCAATGAATGAATTTGAATCATCAATGGCATAAGCAAAAACTAAGCAAGAAGCATTGATTACTGATAATTGCATACTTTTCGTATACATATCATTCGTGAAATCTGAATCATATATGGTTAAAACGTCATAATCACCTCTATTATTGGTGCATTTCTTGGTGTATAAATCTTGCTCTTCAATATTTCCAATAAATTGGTCATATATAAACCGATAAATCATTGATGATTTGCCAACATTAGATGAGCCTAGAACACACGCGTCATATTTCTTGGTGATAACTTGCAAGTCATCACGGCACAACTCCATTGTGTATTGAATGGTTTTGGTGTATGTATGTATGTCAGTCGTAGATCTGTTTTGATTTGCTTAATATACGTTTGAGTGTAAGGTTTGCAATAAAACGGTGGTGGCTGGTTATACTGAATTAGGTATTGATACTTATTGCAGATAATTAATGCTACTACTTAGTCCCTTTATAAAGAAAGAAGAAACGAATAGCAAACTACGGAGAAGAAAAAGAATGAGGTGGGGAGGAATTCGGAGAGAGGCAGTGGTGAAACAGACAGAGACAAAGAGAGAGTGTGTGAGTTCTATTGTTTTCTCAACGTGATGTCATTGTTATTTTGTGTAATACTCTCAAGTTATAAAGAAAACGGTTGTTAAGACAACCGTTTTTTTTTTTTTATTTCTTTTTCTCTTTTTTGCTCTTGAAAGTACACTACCCCTCAAACAAAAGTGATTAGGAACCCCGAAATCCGTAATCAAGTCAGTTGAAACGACACGTTCTTTTCTTTTTTTGTGGCCTACTTGTCCACCCCAGTAGATTAATAACTAAAAGTCCTGAACAACTTAATCCACTACTACTCATGTACTACTAGTACTCTCTACTCATAGCTTTTCAAATCCTTGTAGATAAAAAATAAAAGATAAAACTATAAATGTTGTCTCCTTTTTTATGTGAGACAATAGTTTAAAGCTTAAGCCTTGTTTTACTTATTGATTCTAAAGCCAAAGAGAGACAATATCTACTGCTACTTTTCCTTGCCTTAACTTGCTATTATGGATAGTTCGTCTATGTAAATTAGCTACAATAATCTCTACTACCAGCAGAACCTTACAATTTGTATTTGGGATCAACTCTTCAAAAGGTCTTCCAATTCAGCTTCATAAGATTCTTCACATTCAACATCACTTAGATCGCTCATATCGACATCATCTTGCCGATAAGGATTGTCCAATTTCAGGTTCGCTTGTGGGCTATCCACATTCTCAATTGAGACTTCTAACCCATCAGCCGAAAACCTCGACGTACTTGATGACTCCTCGATTTTGCCATTACTTTCCAATAGCACAACTCCATTAATCTCCTTATCAAACTCTCTTTTCCAAACTTTCATTTTCTTGTACACATTAAAACTTGGTTTGTTCTCCTTCCATATAGCAGTGGCTAAATCATCCACATCAATTTTAAATTGTTGTAAATCACTATACCCCTTATGCTCATTATGCTTCATAATCAGTTTTAAACTTTTACAACCCTGTATGCTACTGCTGCTGCTGGAGGGTTTCGGAACATAATTCAAAATCACGTGAGTTGTATCGTATTTAGCATTCAAACTTTCAACCAATAACTTAATCAGTTGACTCAATGGGAAATACAACATGTCAGCAATATTAAATGATATATCATCAGCTTCCTTGGTGGCCAATTGTCGCTTAGTGTTTAATTGATTCATTGATATTAACTTCTCTAAATCTTTAACCAAAACATTGCCAAACTTGATCTTGTCATTGATTTGTGATTCATTGGGTCCATTTTGCTCCAAACTATTAAAATCATATAATAGTGAACCAGATGCAGTTGAATCACTGCCAGATCCCGTAGCAAATGCAGCAAAATCATTGTTTTTACGAACCAATGGAGCTCCATTTTTCAGTTCACGCTTCAAACACCAATATCGACAAATCTCATTGGCTATAGCAGTTAGATCCAGATGGATCTCTTCCTTGGTACGGTTGGGCAAAACATTCAACTCCAAAACTTGGTTCATTGATTCTTCAGGTAGATTAATTTGATTTTCCACCTTCAATGAGTACATCGATTCAACCAATTTATCACTGAAAAGTTTGGGTGCGATGGGTGTATTCAGTTCCGTTTTCCATTTGAAAATATTCAATTTGTTGGCCATTTTCTGATCACTACTTAAACGGGCATTCTCCTCATTCAAAAGTTTTGTATCCCTATAGTAGAATCGTGTTTTTTCAATTCCTTCAAGTATTAAAGGGAGTCTATCCAGTGACGTTGGTGGCGTATGCTTATCACAAAATGATTTGAGTGTAAGCTTATTGCTCAATGCACCTTTCACGCCTTGTGTCATTTCCATATGCAAACCAGCCCGCTTAGCGCAAGTAACATGATAAGCTTGGAAACAGCTCCTGTTGGTGCATTGGATACAAGCACCCACCCTTTGTCGACAAATATAACATGTCAACTTCCATCGACTCTTAGGTATTGATTCTATTCCTTCAATAGGTTCCATGTACACTGGATTAGCAAAATACAATTCATTGATCCATAACCCACATATTACATGCCCCCATAGACTATTATCCAATTGTTTAAATGCCCCTGTTGTACTCGGGCAAAACACACATTGAGTGACCTTGTTCTTGTTTATCATACATTTTCGACAAAGCCATTGCCCTTCGGGTATAAATGCCACTCCATAGCATTCTTGGTGGACAGCAATATCGCATCCATCACAAAAGACAATCGCATTAGCATTGTCGCAATCGCTGTCATTGCAAACAGCACATTTTTGATCATAAATAGACCCAGGTTCTATCCCATCATCATTCCCATATTTGGAATTGTTATGGCCAATGGTCAAAACTCGGTCATTTAGACCAAGTCCATTACTCTGTACGTCGCTATTAGTCAATGTATTCATTCGATGCTCAAGTCTACTCCATTCATCTTCTAACCTGCTGATCATTGTTTCAAACACTTCAGGGGTAATCTTGATCACATTCTTGCTTTTACTATTTCTATCCTGTAGGTAAAGCGTGTCTTGTTCATCCATGTCATACTCCACTAGTAGGCTCCGCTTGTTCAAGTATTGTTTTACAATTGTCTCCTCGTCATCGCTTTTACCACTTTGTTTCACTAGACTCGTGGGTATCTCAAACTGTCGTACATATGTATCCTTCTCGCTTCGATCGTTATTCTTCAAAGGATCTTGAAACCCATATTCAAGAAGTTGTTTATTAAACCTGATATTGGGATTGGGTACTGCTGGTTGAATCTTTTTAAACACCGGTACCTTCAAATTTGTAAGCTGATTGTTACCCATTGAAGCTAAATTATTTCCATTTACAGAATGCCCACTATTCTCTGTAAAGCCATTTCCACTTTCCTGTTTCTCTCGAGGGGGGATAAAAAACACTGGAATTTGCATCAATTCATCCAAATCAGGATACAATTCAGAAAGTTCTCGTTCCTCGCGTGGTTTCTGTATGTATTCATCGAGATTCAGGGTCTGTGTATACGTTAGCCCACAGGCATAATTTGAAGTCATATCATCAGATTAAAATGATGTGTGATTGATAGTAAAATTAAGAAAACTACACAACAATAAACCATATATAAACAATCGGAACTTTTTTTCTTTTATCCCCTTTTTCGTTATTATCAAAACAAGTATGTGCTACCAGATGAAATATTATTTTACTGAATGAAAGCCGCATCAGATGGAAAACTTAGCAGGAGACCGATTATGGCATTCAGCAACACGCAATCCACCTTCTGCATTGTTTGACATATTATCCTTCAGTTTCTTTAGTTGCAACCAAGACTGCTCGCGTGATGGGCACGTGGAAGTTATTGGAGTACTCAATTCAGTAACGCATTCTGGAGTTAAGCAAAATGCTCCTCTCGCTACAACATCATCGTCCATTTCGTGGTATATTACTGGTGAGTTCAAATTTGATATGTCTTTCCTGGTCTGATCTTGCTTAGACACTTTTTGAAATATTTGATGTATTTCCGCCTTCTGTGCTGCAAATGTGCTTGAAGAGGTGCCATCTTTCCCACCTATTGATCTAGCGGTGTCATTGTACAAGAAATCATGTTTACCTAATTCTTTCAGCGACGGCCTCTGTTCAGGATTCGTTTCAAAGCACGATAGTATAAAATTTTTGGCCGATTCTGGGATATCAATCCAATAGTCTTGCGGTACAAACAAGTACTTTTTATTGACGATGGCATCCTTTGTTTCGTCATCTGTTTCACAATCAAACGGTAAATATCCGGACAACATAAAGCACAAGGACACGCCAATAGCCCAAACATCAACTGGGAAACTGTATCCCACTTCCCTATTAAACATTTCGGGTGCCATATAGCTCAAAGTCCCAGAAACATCATGTAGCCGCTGTTGTGGTTTTAGCACGCGTGCTAAGCCAAAATCACCAAGCAATATGTCGTTGGACTCTTTCAGTGGAAACAAAATATTCTCTGGTTTTATATCTCTGTGTATGATTGAGTTGGAATGTAGGAATGACACGGCAGATACCAACTGAGTGACAATTTCTTTCGAGATAGTTATGTCAAGTTTACCACTAGGCGAATCATAGACAATTTTATTGAACAAGTCACCACCCTCTGCTAAGTCTGTTACAAAATAGAAGCTGTGGCTGGTTTCAAAGTAGTCAAACAACAGTAGGATATGAAGATGTGACATGGATACTTGGCTCAAAATCTCAAATTCGCCCTGTAGTAGCAGTTCCAATCCATAAGTTAACCCTTTGTTGTACTTTTTGGCAGCATACCGGTGCCCATTGTATTTGTTCTTGCAAGCATAAACCACTGAGTATGAACCTTCTCCTATGGGACATTTTGAGAGCTTGTACTCCGAGCTTCGAGACGCGATAGTGGTGGTGCTTGATGAACTGGACGACGGTATCAGCTCTGTGGACCAGGGTGTGAATCTTTTAGTGTATAATGGTGTCATGTATGTTTATGGGTGTTACAAGTAGTTCTCTTGCTAAAAAGATGTGTTGGTACCCAAGTGTTCAGCATTGGAGAAAGCAAACCACAAAAATCGGGCTATACGTGATATGATGATGCGTGTGTGTAGGGCCGACCGGAAAAACTACTGCCGGTTATGCAGGGGTTCTTAAATTGAAGTCGCCAAAGATCATTGTCGTAAGAAACTATTCGAAGAAACACACAGACATGTTGATAATTCGATATTTTTGACACCACCCATCAAACCTTCGTTCTGTTGATCCCTTGGGCTACTTCAGCAAAGCCATACCAGGAAATATGCAGCTAATATGACTACAGGTACCCCCAATCATACAGCAAAGACAACTCAACTGTGTTGGACATTTTATTCATCGGAATGCTATTGCTCAAATGGCCATTATAGGACACACCACTTTATGAGTTTGCTAATGTTGACTGTCTAACCTAGCAATTGGGGAAGATCTTGCTTTATTTTTTACAATTCCGGGGTTTTACTGTCGATTCTGGTGCCTTCTGTTACATTGACTCGTAAGTATAGTCCAAGAGGTACAATGAGAGAGATAGAGAGAGAGAAATGAGCGCTTTCAAAAGATAGAGTGAGAGATTGATTGAATTTGATGTCATATTAAAAGAAATAATACATAACAGGAATTAAAAAGCAAAAAAAAGAAGATACCAGTAGCCACCACAACCACTAAATATCTCTTTTTCAAACGGACATCAACAACATTAAACGTCTCGACAAACAATTGCGTATTCTTGCTCTCGATCCCAATCAGTGGTAAACTCATAACTCCGGATATTTGACATAGGATTATACATTGTGTTGTTTTCTTTTTTATATTTTTTACACTTTTTTGCACAATCTTTTCTAGCTTTTCATATTGGATTTTCATTCTCTGGCAAAGTGAGGAAAAGGGGTCCGATAAAAATTTCAAAACAACAAACACCAGTCAGGGAAGAGGTCCCATCTAAGGCATACTAAGTACATCTCGTATAGAATAGGTTCTTGCACTCCCTGCTTGCAAAAACTTTTGCAGTGGAGCGGTTTTGAAGTATCTTCATTGATTCAACTTCTTCATCCTTCAACTCCGTATAATTCAGCTTTGTCAGAGATCTCCACTCAAACTGTCCTTGTCATTTACCCTTCGTCACAAGTCTTGGCATCATGTTTTCACTAACCAACCGATCGGGTACATCAGCAGAAGNGGATATTTGACATAGGATTATACATTGTGTTGTTTTCTTTTTTATATTTTTTACACTTTTTTGCATAATCTTTTCTAGCTCTTCATATTGGATTTTCATTCTTTGGCAAAGTGAGGAAAAGGGGTCCGATAAAAATTTCAAAACAACAAACACCAGTCAGGGAGGAGGTCCCATCTAAAGCATACTAAGTACATCTCGTATAGAATGGGTCCTCGCACTCCCTGCTTGCAAAAACTTTTGCAGTGGACCGGTTTTGAAGTATCCTCATTGATTCAACTTCTTTGCCCTTCCCTTCCGTATAATTCAGCTTTGTCAGAATTCTCTACTCAAACTGTCCCTGTCATTTACCCTTCGTCACAAGTCTTGGCATCATGTATTCACTAACCAGCCGATCGGGTACATCAGCAGAAGCATTGGACTTCAATTTCCAAGTCTTCAACAGCTGGATAGGTGTAATTTCATCTTTGGCGATTT